ATTAAAAAAAGAAATAAAAGGGGAAAGGGGGGCGGATTTATCAAAATAAATAGGATGGTGCATGTGGCACAACTTAATTGCGCCCCTATAACTTTATGGTGAAAAGACAAAGAGGCCATATATCATGATTTTATCATTGAAGAACTTGGTCTTTTAACCATTAAATAACACACATTCGTGTATCTTTTCTTAAAAAAATTAAATTAAATCACATATTAAATCCTTTTAATTTTTTTCTTTGTTGCAATCCTATATCGACTATATGAATTATGAGTTTAACAACATATTGGCCTTGTTTGGCAAATGGCTGTTGGCGGTTGACGGTTGGCTGGTTCACTTGGCTTGTTTGACCAGTTGGAATGTTTGGCTGTTTATAATGGCTTTTAAAATTGGCTGTTTAATCTGGCTGTTTATAAAAGTGTTTGGTAAATTTAATTGTTGGTTGTTGACTGTTTATTTGATAATTTGAGTGCCACCAAGCCAAAAGCCAACAAAAAAAACTACTCAAAGTAGCTTTTTCATTTTGGCTTAAAAGCCAGCTTTTTCACTGAATGAAAAACCAATTACCAAACATTTTTTTTGGCTGTTTGACCACATAAAAAAGCCAAAAGCCAAAAACTAACCAAAAAGCCATTTATCAAACATGGGCATAAAGTGAAGGAAGTTTTATCCTTGAATTAATCTATCAACGAAGTAACGCATTTAAAAATCCACTAATTTATATGCTAGTCTTACTCCCTAGTTTTTTTTCTTAATGCTAGATAGATTTACATAGACATATACTTTATAACACCCTTAAAAAAAAAAAAAATATATATATATATATACTTTATTCTTATCACTTCTTTCCTCATATGAATTTTTTTCCTTATTTAATACGGAGTATATCTTCATTAATTTTCTTAAAACCTCTAATTTTTTTTTTCAAAACAATTGTACCTCTTACTTTATATATCTTTTTACACTTCGATCTCTTTCACTTTGTCATATATCTTTTTTCTACACTCACTCACTACATGAACATTTTCTAATTTATCTCTTAATTGCCTTAATTTACCTGCAAACACTAATAAATGTTAAAACTTTTGAAAATGAGAGTAGTATTTTATTTTTTTTTTATTTTCTTTGCGTGGGATGATCAATTTTTATGTTAGGATATGTAATTAATACAGTTACACACAAACTTATTAGCGTGTGATAATTTCATTGAGCCATTTACCAACCCACGTCAGATTAATGTCAGATTACATACAAACTCAGCAAAGTTTCATTCTAAAGTCAATTCTTTAATGCGTAAGTTATTTTACTAACATGGCCTGACCTACATGATCTAATTAAGAATTACCTAGGAAAGACATTTTAGAGGATTAGGCCCCATTTGTATTTGGATCGTTTCATACTATTTATTCTATTTTCCAATTTACATTCCACCATAATATAACTCAGAATTCTCCAACTAGATTCGAAGTCAACATCAAATCACAAGAGATTTGGTTTATTTGCTTAACTGGCCTAAGGTGGTGTTGCTTTCATCTTGCAACATTGAAATGAAAAGTGACACAGAAAGCAGCCACAGAAAGCAGCCATGACTTGTGAATGGTCCACACACAGTAATCATAAGGCCCAAAATTTTATTTTAATAAATATAGTTCAGGAATTATTATCATGTCATAAGAAGATTTCCATAGATGGAAAAATTAACTTCCCCTGACTTTTTGTTAATTAATGTCAACTTTGTTACTATGTCTTATATTCATATGTACTTCTATACTACAAGTAAATTGAATGCATGTGATGCATATTGCATACATGAAAAACATGTACAACAACTCATTTTACTTTAACATGGCTTTGAAAGCATCAAAATCTTAGAGGGTACAAAAGTGAGCATATAAGCATATTAGATCATGTAAAATTTGGACACTTATAATTCCTCTAGTTATACTACACGTACTTTGTACTCCATGATGATATGTGAGTTAAATTTAATATGGACAACCATAACATTATAAAAAAATTATATGGTCACGACTATTATACATTAATATTATACTTTTGTATAATGTTTATCTAATATACAATTAATATTTGTGAAAACGTGTAGAGGACCGGTCAATTGGCTAGACCATGTGCTGATTTGATAAATCAATTGGCTAGAGTTGTATCTGTTAGGATTAACCCTCGAGAGAAGAACTTCCTCAGTTAATATGATCCTTTTTCTTAACTATTTTTTTAAATAAATGGCTAGAGTTGAAATAATCTATCCTTACCATATGTTTAAGTTATTACCAAATTCTAATCGTCCACGCACATTTATTTGGGATTATTGGGACGGATAATAGATACATGCCCATATGAGATCTTATTTCTATCTGCCTTACTTTATAGCTTTAAAATATCTACTTTGTATATATACTAATATTAGGTATTGACGCTCCAAGTTTGCATTGCAAAAAGAAATTCTAAACCAATACTCTTAGTAAAAAAAAGGGATCATATTGAGAAAAAAAACAACCTAGCATGTGATAATTTTCAATACTGTGTATATTATTCACATCTTCATCCACTTATCTTGTCAATATGACCCACTCCAAAAGTCCAAATGAACAGTTAAACGCACAATTAGGGATATACATAATCGATTTCCATTATTATTGTTTGATTAACTTTCCATGTAATTAAATTTGTGTATATTATAGCTAGTCTTATTCAATCTCTTAGCATCAACAGTCCAAAAGGCAAACAATGAAATTAAATACTAGTAATACTTTTTGATCTGGGGGAAACATGATCAACAATTAAAATGACATTCATTAAAGTGTGTAATTATATCGCCTAAAGTAGGTCATTATGTATATAATCCACCTTCATTATTTTCCCTTAATAAGTGCCGTTGTGTTGTAGGCTATGACAATGAACACAAGATTAAGACTGCCTTGATGGTCATGATAGGCAAGCCATATAACCCGCCGATTTGTGATTCTTTAGTTTCACACGAAGAAATAATTTTTAGTAAGAGACTATGAACTACTTCACATGTGAATGACCAAAATTTTTCATTATAGATAAGTGAATGATAATTTAAAACTGGTCAAATTAGTATGAACGAGTATAGTGACTAATGAAGATAAACTTAAGGAATATTAGCTTTGGTTGATAAACATATATGGTGTAGTGGTGCACATGTCACATATGACACACCACACTTATTAGGTTCACACGTGTTTGGTGCAGTGATCTTTATATGTTGTTTATTGACCCAATGGATTTATCATACGCTAATAAGTTTGTGTATTATTAATCAAAGATAAAATTTGAGTCGAGGAAGAGAGAGTTCATTCATTGAGAATATGAATTGAGGGTCGGAAGTAATAAAGTCATCATGATGAATTTTATTGTAAAGAATTTAGAAAGTGTATAATAGAAGAAAGCACAAGATGCCTAGCTAAGAGCTAATACAATAAAAACAAATTTGACCAGTGGCTCAATATATCTTCATACATTATTATATATAAGTGTACAAAAGTGGGAAAACTTTGCTTTTGTTTTGGTTTCTTTGCATAAGTAAAAACTCCAAAAACAAGTTTCTCTAATTAATTATTGTAAGAACTTTCTTACATACCTTGCTAAAATATTTAATTTGTTCAAAGAAATTAAAGTAGTAGGGAGCAAAGATTATCTTGTAAAAATGTACTTTAACTTTTTTTTTGTGCAATCTTTTGTAAAAGTATAATCAACCACTAAAAGATATACCTATCATTTTCTCATCAAATTTGTGTTCCCACCAATTTGATTTATTAGTGATTAAATTATTTGAAGATGACTCATACCATGCAAGCTTACTACGTAGAATATAACATACTTACATACATAATATTATATGCACCCTAATGTTATGACCAAAAATAATAGAATATACACATTTATTCATGTAAAGAGGAACATTATGTAAGAAAGAGTCAAATTAATGACTCAGAAAAACACATGTATTCTAAAGAGGGTCAAACACTACATCTTAGCAATGCCTTAATATAAGGGAGAGTGTTGGATACTTGACTAATGGAGTGGATTTGAATATATTTTTAAACAAAATCCATGTTGCAATTTAAATTGTTAACTCAAATTATATTGTGAACGGGGGAGTATCAAAATGGTGTTATTGATCTGTATTGTATAATCACAATTCACCCGTGAGGTTGTTTATGTGTGAGGCATATATTAATTTATAACCATTTGGAAACCACAATGCCCCGTGAATATGAGATTAGGATATAACCATTGTTGAGGTAAGGACGAAGTACAATAATTTGTATGTCCTATTTGTCTTCCAAGACTTAAGGAGTACTCTTGTGAAATTATATGTATTTATTTATCACTCCTCATTCACTTTTGAGTTTTTCGTTTAAAGGGTAAGTGGTACTTTTCCTCTTTTTGGTGATATGATTACAATTATTTGATTGGACCACCTTATAAGAAATGATATACACTAAATTTTTTAATTCCCTTGATCTTGAAGCTTGAAATATGTAACAAATTGAGAACAATAATTGGTTGAAAAAGATGAGGCAGTGCATCCAAAGCATTGATAATTGAATAAGGATCAAACCAGCGAAACCCTCTACATTTTTGGTTGAAGTATTTCTACATCCAAATTTTTAAACTTCTTCATTATTAAAAAAATATAAATAAAAAAAATTCCCTTAATTTATTTTAACTGAGTTTGAGGTATTTTCAGCATGCAAAATGAGACATGTTCAATTATTATTTGACAATTTTGAGACACAAAGAGCCAAAATGAGTCCATAACCTTTAAAGATCATATTTTTGGCATAGATGTCAATGAAGTATTTTAAAAATATCGAAACTAACGTTTTTATTGATGAAAATTGTCAACGATGCAAGCTAACTTTTTCCATGAAGGGCTTATGGATCACTGTCTTTGTGTGATCAAGCTTTTTGAGGGAGGAGGGCATCTTAGGTAGCCTTTTAGATTTTTCAAAATGTGTATTGATGCTCCTGGATTCCATGATGCTACAAAGGATGCTTGGAACACCGAGGTGACTGGTACTGATATGTTCCAAGTAGTGAGGAAGCTAGCAGAGGTTAAAAAGGCTTTGAAAAGGCTTAATTTGGTGAATTTCTCTTGTGTTGAGGCCAGATTGAAAGATATTCAAATCAAGTTGCATAGATATCCTGATAATACAGAGCTTATTCTCCAGGAAAAGGAAGCTAGGAAAGATTATGATATTGCTCATTCAGCTAGATACAAGTTTCTGAAGCAAAAGGCTAAGGCTCATTGGCTTAAGGATGGAGACATGAATTCTGCTTATTTTCATGCCATATTAAGAAAGAGAAGAATTTAGAAAAATGGTTTTTCAATTGTAATCAATGATGGTGATGGTTTACAGAGCCAGATGGTTTTTGTGATGCTTTCCTGCAGTAGTACAAGGAACTGCTTGGAACTCAAGCTTTTGCTTCTGGGAATGTGCACCCTGCTGAAATCGCAAAAGGAAGTGTGCTCTCTAATGAGCATAGTGACAATATTTGCAGAGCTTTCACTGCAAGAGATGTAAAAAGAGCAGTCTGGAGTATTAATGACAATAAGGCCCCTGGACCTGATGGCTTCTCTAGGAAATTTTTCAACGCAACTTGGGATATAACTGGTCTAGATATTATCAAGGTAATTCTTGATTTCATGGAGAATTTTCAGAAACAAGTTAATGCTACCACCCTAACCTTGATTCCTAAGGTAGATAATGCAAATATGGTCACTTAGTTCAGACCCATAGCCTACTATAATGTCATTTACAAGATCATCTTTAAAATGATTTGTGAAAGGCTTTAGGAGGTGCCGCCAGGTCTAATTGATCCCTGTCAAGATGCTTTTGTTGCAGGAAGACCAATTCTGGATAACATTATAGTATGCCATGATATGCTCAAAGCTTATAATAACAAAAGGAAGCCACCTAGATGTACCATTAAAGTTGATCCGAGGAAGGCTTATGATTTTCTAAGCTGGGATGTACCATTAAAATGTTAAGGAAAGTAGGGAAGAAAAGGGAATTCAGATTCTACCAAAGATGTGAGCAATTGAGATTGAATCATTAGATTTTTGCAGATGATCTTATGCTTTTTTCATATGGGAACACTCAATCTGTCAAACTGCTTGTTAGGGCTTTGAAAGCATTTGAGGTTAGGTCTGGGTTGCAAGCTAACACTGATAAAGTTGCTATTTACTTTGGTAATGTCCAAAGTCAGATACAAGATGATATCTTAGGTATGTCTGGTTTTGTGGTTGGAGAAGTTCCTTTTAGGTATCTTGGTATTCTATCAAATGTCAAGCACCTCAAAGTTGCAGATTATGATGCCTTAATTGACAAAATGCTAAATAAGCTGCATTGTTGGAGTATAGGAATCTGCCATATATAGCCAGAGTGACTTTAATCAATGTTGTCCTTATGAGCTTGCACACTTACTAGGCTCAGTATTTACTTATTCCTAAAACAATCATGCTTAGGATTGTTCAACTCTATAGAGCTTTTCTCTAGGATGGGAATGCAACTTTGAGTAGAGCTCCTTCTTTAGCATGGGACTGGGTTTGCAGACCTAAAATGGCTGGAGGATTGGTTATCAGGGACTGCATCAGCTGGAATAAGGCTACTTTAGGCAGTTACATTTGGAAGATAGCAAAGAAAACTGATTCTTTGTGGGTCAAATGGGTCCACTCTGTATACATCAAGGATTAAGGCTGGTGGAATTATGTTCATAAGAAGGATGCAGGTTGGGGATGGAAACTTATGTGTAGAATCAAGGATGAACTCAGGGATGGTTTTGTGAGTAATAATTAGCTAGACAGGAAATATAAGATAGCTGACTGTTATGCATGGCAACTTGGAAAAAGTTCAATGGAGCAGCTGGGTGTGGAATAGATATAATGTTCCTAAACACTCATTTATAGTATGGTTAGCTATCTTAGGCAAGCTGAGAACTAGAGATAAGCTAGCTCTGTTTGTGGTGTGCAGTTATAATACTTGCCTCTTATGTCGTGAGAGTGCAGAGACTAATTGCCATCTGTTTTTTAATTGTAAGTATAGCAGGAAATGTCTGGCAGGCATTTGTAGCTGGTTGGGAATTCCTATTCAATAAATTAATATTGATAATGCCTGGAAGAATTGGAAAAGAAGGGGACAGAACAGTGTTCAAAAGAATGTTCTGTTAGCAGTCTTAGCAGCTGTGGTGTATCATATTTGGATGGCAAGGAATCATGTATTCTAGAATAGTGTTGTGTTGCATCCTGATGTCTTAGCTAGAGTTATTAAAAGAAAGGTGACAGGAAGAATCCAGCAGCTGATCAATGCAAAATGGAAGATAGCAGATTGCAGATGGTTTTATCAACTTAAATATGATATGTAATTTTGAGGTTGGGAGTGCTAGTTGTTGTTGTACACCTGTCTGTAGCTCCGTGTAACCTTCCTGGAAGGTAGTAGGGCTGCTACTATTCAAGTTGGATTATGGTTTCTCGAGTGATCCCTTCCTAGAAGGTGGCAGCAGGGCTGCTACTGTTCAAGTTGGATTATGGTTTCTCGGGTGATCCCTTCCTAGAAGGTGGCACCTGAAGGGTCCAGAATCTAGGTGGGTGGTTGACCTTAGGGTCATGTGTAGTTAGGAGTTTGCCTTGTTTTTTTTAGGCCTTTGTACACTTGTAAATTTTGTACAGTTTTTTTGATGAAATATACTTCTTACTTACCCAAAAAAAAAAAGAAAAAGGAAAAAAAAGGAAATCAAATCAAAGTCAAACACATTTAAACACAGCTTTTTGAATCAAATGAAAGTCAAACGCATTCAACAAAGTTAATTGAATCAAATGAAAGTCAAACACATTCAAATAAAGCTTTTTGAATCAAATGAAAGTCAAATGCATTCAACAAAGCTAATTGAATCAAATAAAAGTCAAACGCATCCAACAAAGCTAATTCAATCAAATGAAAGTCAAATGCATTCAACAAAGCTAATTGAATCAAATCAAAGTCAAACACATTCAAACAAAGCTTTTTAAATCAAATGAAAGACAAATGCATTCAATAAAGTTAATTGAATAAAATACAAGTCAAACATATTCAAACAAAACTTTTTAAATCAAATGAAAGTCAAATGCATTCAACAAAGCTAATTGAATCAAATGAAAGTCAAATGCATCCAACAAAGCTAATTGAATCAAATCAAAGTCAAACACATTCAAACAAAGCTTTTTGAATCAAATGATAGTAAAATGCATTAGATGAAGCTAATTGAATTATATAAAAGTCAAACACATTCAAATAATGCTTTTTGAATCAAATGAAAGTCAAATGAATTTAACAAAGCTAATTGAATCAAATCAAAGTCAAATGCATTAAACAAAGCTAATTGAATCAAAACAAATTCAAACAAAGCTTTTTGAATCAAACGAAAGTCAAATGCATTTAACAAAGCTAATTGAATAAAATGAAAGTCAATTGCATTCAACAAAGCTAATTGAATCAAATCAAAGTCAAACACATTCAAATAAAGCTTTTTGAATCAAATGAAAGTCAAATGTATCCAACAAAGCTAATTAAATCAAATCAAAGTCAAACACATCTAACAAAGCTGATTGAATCAAATGAAAGTAAAACACATTTAGACAAAGCTTTTTGAATCAAATGAAAGTCAAATGCATTCAACAAAGCTAATTGAACCAAATGAAAGTCAAATACGTTCAACAAAGCTCATTAAATCAAATGAAAGTCAAACACATTCATTCAAAGCTCATTAAATCAAATGAAATTCAAATGCATTCATTCAAAGATTTTTGAATCAAATGAAATTCAAATGCATTCAACAAAGCAAATCGAATCAAATAAAAGTCAAAACACATTCAAACAAACTTTTTTGAATTAAATGAAAGTCAAATGCGTTCAACAAAGCTAATTGAATCAAATTAAAGTCAAACACATTCAAACAAAGCTAATTGAATCAAATCAAAGTCAAACACATCTAACAAAGCTGATTGAATCAAATAAAAGTAAAACACATTCAAACAAAACTTTTTAAATCAAATGAAAGTCAAATGTATTCAACAAAGAAAATTGAATCAAATGAAAGTCAAGTGCATTTAACATAGCTAATTGAATCAAATAAAAGCCAAACACATTTAAACATAGCTTTTTGAATAAGATGAAAGTCCAATGCATTTAATAAAGCTAATTGAATTAAATGAAAGTCAAATAAATTTAACAAAGCTAATTGAATCGAATCAAAGTCAAGCACATTTAAACAAAGTTTTTTGAATCAAATGAAAGTCAAAAGCATTCAATAAAGCTAATTGAATCAAATATAATCTCAAACTAATTCCGTATTTGTTTTAAATTGAAAATATTTTCCATAAATCATGGTTTGCCTAGAATCATACGACTTTCTAGCCATTATTTTTATAATAAGGTAAGAAACGCCTTTTGGGAGTGGAGGGAAGGAGAAAAAACCCCCCTTGAATCTTTTAGTAAGTTTTGATCCTCTAACCTTGAATACTCATTGATAATAAAGGGATAAGAGTCATAAGAAAATGTCCATAAAATGTACAATGTACATCTAATTATATTGTGCATAGCTCAATCCTCTCATTTAACGCAAAAATAAATTAACAGAAATGATAATAAAGGAATTAATCGATTGAATAGAGGTGTGCTGTAATAATTACCACCAAAAATGACAAAGACCTGCTCAAAACAACAAATAATATTTTCAAGGCCCAACAATTAGCAAAAAAGAATGGGCTGGGCTAAACTTAGGACTAGCCCAGAAAAGAATCACTGGATTGGAGTAGCAAGTTGCTTTGTCCTATATAATCCATCTACTCAAGTGTATATTACTAGCTAACAAAGCAAAATTGGAGCATGAGATGAGGGAGTTCCAGAGGTCATCTTTACTTCCACCGTAGAGATTGCCTTATTCCGGTATATACAAGTCCTACAGACCGTCCAATCAAGCTAACGAGGAAGAAAGAGATGGCATTGCGAACCTGAGAAACTATTACTTTCACCATCGGCACTGCAATGTCAGACAACTCGAGTATGAGGCTGAAGTAGTACTTCCTGAAATCAAAAGATTTGTAGGAATATTAACGTCAGAAAATAAATAAATATATTATTTCATGCAATCAGTAAAATAAAAGGAAAGTTCAAATTTTGCCCCATAATAAAACGGTTTGCCATAAAGCTATCAGAAAATGTTACAAAGTTGAACAAACCACCCATGATCCAACTGAGACAAGAACATATATCATAACTCGAAAACAAGTTTGAAATGTAATATATTCTAAGTCCTTTCTAATCAGTAAAATAATAGGAAAGTTCAAGACTTCTTAGTTCTAGTTATTGTGCCCCATAATAAAACGGTTTTGCCACAAAGCTATCAGAAAATGTTACAAAGTTGAACAAACCACCCATGATCCAACTGAGACAAGAACATATATCATAACTCGAAAACAAGTATGAAATGTAATATATCCTAAGTCCTTTCTAATTACCAACCCCCCAACCCCAAAAAAAAAACACCCATACTCCCAAAGGTACAAATCATATGGCTGGCACAGTTGTAGATGTGCCTTCTCTAAATAGATGCCTCATACAGAAGCAACAGAACAGCAACACGGCATAAGACAAAAGGTTGATACTTGATATTAAGTTGCGCAGTTTAAGACATCTCAGATTCAGCTAAGACCAAAAGAATCAGTGTCTCCCTTGCACTTTTACAAGGTATCAATTGTCAAAAAGCACATGAGTTGATGGCTTCCTCCATACTACAGTCAGAAGCTTCTAGAATAAACTATTGCATATCCTTAATTCCTTCCAGGTATCATAGAGTTATATAATTCAAAGTTTTCTATGAACCTTTGAAAGAAAATTTCATCTCTGTAGCTGTAAGCTTGTAATCTACTCATCTCCAGACAGCAATTAAAGAATCAAAGCAACCTAAATCCAAGACCAAAGTCTAGTTTGCAGTTCTTTATATGTGTGCATGCTAAGCCAATTCAATGACAGAGGAAGAGCACTTGGCACCAAAAATTAGTTATTCACCACACTTTTCTAGTTTTCTATATTACAAATCCACCACAAGCAATTGCAAAAAAGTACCAGTTCTTATCATCATACTCCCTCTATCTCAAAATATCTGACACAGTCAACCTTGCACACATGTCAATACACTAGCTTGACTTTACTTTTATATGATTAAATATTAATGAAAACTATTTTAAAAATTATATCATGAAACTTTATATTAATACCTATCCAACAACATATTTTATGATAAAATATGTTTTTATTATGTTAGTAAAAAAAATATGGTCAAAGCTAATACATGAATAGTGAAAAAAGTCCAACGTCCCAGATATTTTGGGACGAAGGGAGTATAATTTTTGGTTTGCACATCCAATAGCACTATAAGGCCCTATACTCTTCACCTTAAAAAATAATTTCAGTTTAGTAAAAATTATTTTTAAGCAATAAAAATCAATTACTTTAAAGACCAAATATAATAGGAAATCAGTAAAAATAAGTTTTTATCAGTATAAAATAAATTTCAGTTTGACAAAAAAAATTTAAGTTCAGCAAAAAAAATTTCAATTCAATAAAAATAATTTCAGTTCAGCAAAAATAAGGTGAAGAGAATAGGGCCTTACTCTTGTTATTCCATAGTTTAAATAGGCATGCATTAATAGGATGAATGGACAAAAGGCTAAACTTTCAAACAGGAGACTGATTACAAAGATACTGCCCTAACTTCAATATATGTGCTTGGTGGAACTTTTAAGCCATTTCATGCAATATTAAGAGTAAAATAATTATAGTTTCCACATATTTGGGAGATAAGAGCTAGGGGGGGGGGGGAGGGAGGGGAATATACCATCCTTTGAGGGCCCTTAGTTCCCTTGTGCGCTTTAAAGTCAAAGACAAGGTACTGACTACAGAATAGCGTAGTGAGAACTGCACATGTACAGATTTCTTCAGAGTAAGTCTCCTCCACCAACTATGACTTTCCTCGAGTGTCTCAGCCGACTCACGATAAGGTTCAGTCTTTAGTATTCGCAGGTCGAATCGATCCTCATACATTAATACAATTTCTCCAAAGTTCTGGTGAATCCACTCACGCATAGCTACCTTACACCATAAATCCAATTCAAAGAGTCAGGGGGCAGAACTGCTAAATTTATGGAGCAATTGATACATTGCTGCTGTTTTTCATCTTCTCTATTTACTTCCTATTCCAAGACAATGGAGGTCTTTCTAGAGACTGAAAGGAACAAAATGTTACTTTGACTGCCATATTAGCATCAATACTGAATATTGGAGGTACTTCACACAAATTGAGTCATAATTCATGAAGGGGGGGGGGGGGGGGGGAAGGGGGGGATTGGGACTTCAAGAAATAATAAGAGTTAAGAACTTATGAAATTGTTAAATTAGTTGTGGGATGTCTCAAAATTCAAGATGTGAACTCATTACTACATGTTACCTACTTTGGTTTTTAGAAAAACTACCCTATGTGATAAAGACCAGTATTCTCCTGAAACAACATCAATCCTATTTCTCTCAAAATTCCCAAACTATCTCTTACTACTTTTTGTACACATTTTACCACTCTTTAGTCCACCCCCAACTAGTGTTCTCAATTTGCATCTAAAGAGTGACAAAGCTTAACAAGAGAGCAATTATAGGATGGAGAAGGTAGTGTATTATGTCTCAGCTTCTTTATAACGATTACATTGCTACAATGCTACTTACTATGTTAGCTTAGATCAATATTGCATCACTGGTAGAACAAAAAGAAATAATCTGATTCAGTTTCAGGGGATTCTTAGTTTTACAAGATGATGGATTTTAAAACAGATTAAGAGACAATTTTGGTCATAGGCAACAGTCAATACGTAGTAATAAGATATACTATTCATCCTTGAGTTGCCTGTTATCTTGCCTAGGCTGAAGACCTGAAGTCCCAGGATATCAAAGTGAAACGAACACATATATGATTGATTATATACATATATTTCAATGTATAGATCTGGAACACAAGAATGTAAAAGCCGGTCACCGAAATGATAGTTGCTCCTAATTCTCCTCTTCTGAGACACAGATCATTCCAAGACTGTTAGCAGGGAAAAGAAAATGAAGGAACATGAAGTGGGGGATACCTCATTTCTTAATTTCTGCAAATCTCTGGTCGACAAAGTACACAAGGACAGCCCAAAGTTACTAATCTTTTCAGAAATGTCACTGTCTACAGATATAACCTCCAAATATATACTTGATATTGCATCAGCGAGAGTAATAATTAGATCTTCCAATATAGCACCTCCATGTAAGGGATAAACATTATGATCATAGTAGCTCCATTCCCTGCAACAAAAAAGGCAGATCCGTGTCAAGTGATAAAACTTCAATTTGGGGGTTTGTGAGCGTATCGCCATAAAGAAAAATCAACAAAGAGAAGAAGAGAAATGGTAAAAAGACCTGAACACTTCTACATTTCTATGTAAGTAAGATTCCTAAACTCTATAAATGTGAGTCACCAGAAGTTATAGTATAGTAAATGTTAGTTGACAGTCACTGGTGGGGCATTTTTCTTTATATCTTTTCATTTCCTTCAAATTAAAACTCATTTATTGTAATATGTGAAATGACACCTATAACCTCGCAGAATGGAATGTTGTTCCCATGACCCACTATAAACTATGAATGAAAAGAGCACCTGTGAGATAAATTCAATCAAAGCTCAAAATACTTGAGTAAAACCTTTTAGTATAAATTATTATCGTAGGAGCATATTTCAGGTTGAGTAAGTACGTCATGAACAGCAATTTTACTTTTTCATTGCAAATTAGATCTTGAATATTGAGACTGCTCAAAGAGGGAGTGAGGGACAATAAGTATGGAAAACAAAACATAAAGACAGAAAAGACCAAGTTTCCATAATAGTTTAGAGCAACCTAAATATAAAGAAAGAGAACCCCATTCTCTTAAACAAGACAGGGCAAGAAAAAACCACATACTCTTCACTGGAGTTGGATTTAAAGGATTTATTCAACCTGATGTTAATGAGACTTGAACCACAATAAATAAACTATCACAAAGAGCAGTTAAAGGATGAGGCTGGCATCAACAGAAGGCAAATTTCACTTTAATTTTTAGTACGTCATCATATAAGAACATGGGAAAATAAAAAGTTGTAACAGCTTACCAGAATTAAGGAGCTCATTTTGACCAAAAAATTATGGGTAGAGGCGATTTGAAAGACTGAGAAAGGATATATCCAAATCCAATAACTAATTCTGTATACAAATAAACCTGCAGCTGAAGCTATTCAACATCTAAGGCAACTGCTAGTTCACAGAAGGATTACCACATTAAATCTTTAGTACATATAGGCTTACACTAAAGTGCATAAGGTTTTGAGGTAATTGGAGAAAAGGGGCACAAAATACCTGTACTTGAATTACTAAACACACATATTGAAAAGTGAAGAATTTTGTTAGATACGGAATAGAGGTATTAAGTTATGTCATAAGTCCTCCAGTTCTTTTCAGCTGACACAATTCTTTAGGAACGTTTTCCAATACAAAAAATCAACCATTGACACTTTAATTACCAATAAGAAAAAATTATAGAAAGTTGATATACTGAAATCATGTATCAAGATAAATCTTACAAGACCCCGCATGACTTACTTTTCATCATGTATAAATCACAAAAGACGGTCAAAGGGGAGTGTGTGAATAATGCTAAAGTTGAAATGTATCAACTAAAAAGAAACGGAATAAATATAGGCCTTACTCTATATAGTAGTCACAGACCTACTGATATGCTCACAAGAAAACTTTTCAGACCAATCTACCTAAGTTCAGGGTTTTTGTCAATTATTTTGTCTTTCGGAAACTATAGGCACTAAGGATGCTAGAAGCTGTTCTATGTGCTCGTTCAAACAGATGGAGAGACTAAGAATCCCATTCCGATTCTACGTGCTCGTTGAAATACATTTTCCCTTTATTTCAATCTAAGTATCCATGTCACCTGTTTTGAAACCCTCTTCCCTCATATAATTTATTACCTTAACAGAGGAAATCAAAGATATGAGATTATGAACTTAAAAAGAATAGATGGGAATCTTTTTAACCCCAGAACCATCATCAGCACCAATTAAAACCACACCTCAGTGACCTCGCCATACGACCATTCACAAATCTGCAGCCCATGACCATCATTCCCACCCTTAACAACACAGTCCAATAACCATCATGCTCAAGGCCAATGTACAAAAAAATGAATTATTGCAAGCAAGAAGGGGAGGCAGAAGCAAAGCAGTTAAAGAGAATGAGAGAAGGGCTGAAGGAGGTGGAGGCAAACCCAGTCTAGAAGCACTGGCATTGGCCATTGAGGGGTAATTTAGTAGCCAAATCAAGCCACATTTTGTGCATGGTTTTTCAGTAGAAAAAGAGAGATTGAGAAAGGGGAGGCTGAGGCAAAGTAATATAGGAGGGGAGAGAGATAAGATGTGGGTATAAATCAACATATTTCAGTAAGAATAACAACAATTGTAATCTTACCATTGTTTAAGTTACAACATTTTAACTTACTAGTTACTAGAGAAGTGAGAAGTAAATAGTTAAATCTGCAAAAGGTGCACAACATCTTCTATTACCTTTTAGATAAATTTTGAGGGAGCAACATAATAGCCAAAATTGATGTCCATAACATTTTCCAGACTAGCATTCAGTACAAAATATATTCACCAAGAACCTACAATAGCATTACAAGATAAAAGCACTTCAAAAACTAGGCCATTATTGAAATTCAATATCTTGGTCTGTATTTTCCATTTTTGGAAACTTATAAAGTTCTTCCGTTAAACCCTGATCAATGGACCTCCAAAATCCTTCAAATTGTATCTGATTAAACCCAGGGATTGTAGACATTCCCACATTTCCATCACGTAGCATTTGCACGCAATTCCCCATTTATTGAAAAATCCCGTTTTTGGCTCATTTTTCATTGAATCACCAACTTCTTTCAATCAACTATCCTTCTAGAGTCTCTAGTTGGTGACATTACAAGATAAAACTTTGTCTGCCTAACTTGTTCCTAATGCCAAACCACCAAAACCCAAGTTAAAAATTTCCCCTTATAAAGTGGCAATGCTTACAATTAGTCTGCTGCTTTTTTAGCGCCCTTTTAAGCAGTATAAGAACTTCAGCCAGTACCTAGTTTTTTCAATTTGCAAACTTTAGAAGTTTTACAGGTATAATCAAAGGACAGAAATATTTGGCAAGCTACATAAAATGTGGATCCCTAGGATGATCAATACACAAATGTTGACAGACTTGACACAGATGAAAAGGGTAAAGAGGAACTTCAACAATATCAGTGCTTTATAAAGCTCATTACTAAGTTAGAAAACCCTCAAAAGGTACAGGAAGCAAGTCCATAAATCTCAAGCAAGAACAAGTAGTGAATCAACCAGCCCAACCCTTCTAATAATCAGCACCCTGAGGTCTAGGTTGTATTACCTCCATTCTAATAATCAGCACCCTGAGGTCTAGGTCGTATTACTTCTATTGGTGATATAATAGCATCAATAATAAAACAATCTATCAGTTAGTCTACATTTTTCTTGCTCAAAATGACTTTTTCTATTGATTTCTAGCAATCTACAACTGAATGCCATACTTATATGAAAATCAGTATTTTGAACATTATATACCTCAAAAGTCAAACAAAGAAATAGTGCATAATAAAAATAGTTTGTTGCAGAAAGATGATTCAGTTTAATTGATCAGAAACCAGATATGCAAAATGTAAGGTAAAGTCCTTTTTCTCTTTTACAATAGAGGATGAAAAATATATAGTGCTCAAAGCATTATAGTGAGTGTACAGTCCATTCTACCACATGAATCAATTTAGGCAAATAATCAGCTAGAGCACCCCAACAACCATAAACAAACTTACCTAAAGCAACCATATCTGAAAAAACCTATCAAATCTGCAAAAAGATCCATCTTGCCGGATTTTCTAAAATCTCCTAAGATGATATCTTCTCCTCTCAACTTCTCTGACATAGACAGCAAAAGCTCCTACACAAAAACAGAGCAAAGAAAAATGTTGATATCTCAAATGTATCGACTTTGACATCGAAAGCAATCCATTCAAAAAATACCTTGTCAGGCTTGCAATTTTCTATGCTGAACTCCTTTTCCATCCAAGAAAACAAAGCTGATTGACAAGCCTTCTTTACTGTAGAGGAAAATAAACCCAGCCATTCCTCCCTTTCCATAGCCATTGATGTGTCTGGAATTTCATTAACCTGTCCAGACAATGGAGAAACTTGAGCAAGAAAGAAGAAACAAAATCAACATGGTTAAAGGGTGACGAAGGAGATTAACTAGGCAAAATCAATTCACTATATGAAACAAGTTATCACATGATGTCTTTGTAAACATCCACTACCACTCAATACCAACCTCTACAGTGGTAATCGGCAGTAATGGATACTTGTGAAAAAAAATACAGTGTAATGATATTCTTAGTTTTTAAATTTTCATATTTGGTCTACCCCATGATACCATGTGACCTAGACCTTAATTCACAGTGAAAAACTATGTTCTTGCCAATTAATTTCAGAAATAAGCCAAGGTAAGATGCCCCTAGGAGCTAGAATCATAATTCATAAGGGATTCGCATTATAAGAAAAATGATTTCTGGAGCAGGAAAAGTATAAAAGAGCTACAGAGGAGTTGTAAACTCACATCAAAGGGAGAAAAACAGTTTGCTTAGTTGTCTCATGCTTAAACCTTAAAAAAAAATATATACTATGTATATACAAAGTATGGATCCCACGAGTATGAGGAGGGCAAGATACATGCAGCTTCACCCCCGACAAAAAGACAGACATTTTCGTGCAATTTCTCAATATAATTACATTCCTCTACATCAGATGCATCATGTTTCAGGTTTCAAGTGTCCACTGTCTGATAATATATTTCACGTCGAAAACTAAACTGACAACAAGGAAACAAGCTGATAGGACATAAAGAACCTGTGCCCACCATTTTCTCAAGTTGCTCAACCAAAGACAAAAGCAACCTGAATCTGGGACCAATGGCAACGGCATACAAATTAAGAGGCCTCTTTGCACGATCTAATTCATATTCTTTGGTATTTTCTTCCACACTAACACCATTTTCAATAGCTAGAAGAGACTTTGTGATTTTCCCTTTCACTGCATCCCAGGAACAGTGACAACCAAGCTGATCTTCCTTTTCTGTTGTACTGCAAAATTTAAATATAAATAAATAGAAAAAGGAAGAGCAGAATTAGAACAAGAAAATTTAGCACATATCTTCATAACTTAAGACAGTGCAAACTGCAATTGTACAATAGAAGATGTATGCTAAAGAAAATCAAACTTCAAGTACAGTAAGCTTACCTACCAAAAAAGATGGGAGTTTCAGGGAGCAGCAGGTCATTTGACTTGTTCTTTTGGGATCTTATATAAGAGCCCCCAGAAGGAATGACTCCAGCCATATAAGCAAAGAATACACTAGCAGTCAGAAGCACTTGGTCAATGACAGGAACCCAGCTAGATGCAGCAGCACTCTCAAAGTCTATCATAGTTCCCAAGCAGCTACACCTCATGGGACTTCCATTAAAAACAGGAGTTCTGAAAGTAACTGCAACAGACATAGTACTACGCTTGCTGACTCTCCATGAAGGAAGTGATGCAGACCTATAATTTCTGCTGAGAAAAATATTAGAAGTTGTCAAAACCTCCATAGAGGTACTTTTGTGGACATATAATCTTTGCAGAGAAAAATATTAAAAGTTGTCAAAACAAATTATATATTAAGAATGCCTATCCCCCCACAAATTAAGTTAATTCGTAATTAACATGAAACGCGCAGCTCAAATAAGTGCATAGTTGACATACTCCTACAGAATTACACCAGGTCATGCCACTGACAGTTTGTCCTTTAAACTTATACACGAAAACACTAACAACAAATTCCTATTCCGAAGCAGAAGCCTCATTTTTTGGAGAAAGAAATAGCAAAAGGCAGTAAAACATGCCTTGCAAATTGCTTCGATCAGTACAACAGAGATGACTTCTAGAAAGTGTTAGTAACAAAATTGGAATGAAAGTCGGTAACATCTGGAATATGTAATTATGAAGAGCGAGCCTAAAAGGGGTTGTCATTAACATAAGAAAAATGAAGCTTCAAAACAAAGAATTCGAAAATTGTAACTAACAAATTTCTCAAGATGCTAAGTGCCAAAGGTGTTCAACCCCAAGAAACCATCATAATATTCCAATCAACACATCCAAAAGTCCCTAACATCATTGCTGAAGCTAAACCTCGTACTTCCAATAGGCATTTTGGGGAGCTACATATCCATAAACAGGCAATATTAGAGCAATATTTATAGACATGGCTCCACAAAGTTATGTTATACACCCATTGCAAATGCTTATACATTACAAACAGGCAGCATATTGTCGAATTTTGAGGTGAAATGAGCCCACATTATATCAATTTCTTCGATTCGACTACAATACGATTGTAGTAACCGCAAAATAACAACCAAAATGAACAATTTTATCATACCAACATGAAAGCACTTTTGTCAAAGGATGAGGTGAAATGAACCCACATTATATCAATTTATTCGATTCAACAACACTACAATTCTAGCAACCACAAAATAACAACCAAAATGAACAATTTTATCATACCAACATGAAAATTACAAACGAAATTGGGAGGAAGAGCAATCACCTTGGAAAATTTTTGGGGTATGAATTCTGGGGTTTGAACCAAGACCCATTTGTTTGCAATTGCAGCTTAAAATTCGATGGCACAGTCCCACATTCCGCCATTTTTCTGGAGTTTCAATCTCACCCAAATGCTCAATACATTTTATTCTCCCAATCAAATAAGAAAATAAGAACTTCGCTTATGCTTGAATCTACTGAAAATTAATTATAAACAAACAAAAATCAATATCTAAACAGACAACATATTCATTAATTTTCAAAGAAATGGCATAAAATTCTAACAAATAAAAAGGCGTAATTGAAGTGGGATTTAGGGAATTGGGGGTGAGAAAATGGGAAATTAGATGATACCTGGAAGTTAATTTTCATGAATTCATATTGTTAGAAGGAGAGAGGAAGGAAGGAATGGGCTGAGTTTATGACTGGTTTTGCAAAGCTGAATAATGGCAGAGTGAGTGGACCCTGATATCTACAATCCTTGGAGGTAAATCATTAGTCCTCTTGGGGCCTCTTGGGTTTTTGGCAAGTCCGAATTGGAGTTTGGTGATTAGACGGTGGAAATAGGGTTGCTCTCTCCGTTTATTTTTATGAGGGAGCCCCAGTTAATCTCTGAGATTAACATTTTAAGTTAATCTCCTCTCACAACTTTCTGCATTTATTTCTGTGCCATTTACTATATCACTTTTATTATTTAAAAAATAAAAGTAAAATAATATTTTGTGAGAGGAGATATATTTTCATGTTTATCTCAGAGATAAACTTGAATTTTTCCTATTTTTATTGGTTATACATATTTTGACTTCACTAGTTGTAGTATCGCGTGTGTTGCACACGCTATTCTAAATTATCATAATTTCTTTATCCAAATTAATAATAAATAGAAACAGCTGATATAATAAACCTGTGTAAGTCCTAGCTTTGTCATAGTTATATAATGTTTACAGTAGAAAAAATAAACATTTTGTTATTCAAATTGGATATGTATCTTTTCATTGGTTTTTTTGTTCGAAAATAGATGGTTATTATGGCATATTTGAACAAGAATCTCTTAAGTGAGAAAGGTTCCATAAATTATGTGTTAAAAAAAATCAACGGGGATTGGATTCTAAAAACCTGTCTTCTTTCAACATATTAGAAATCATATTGTTGAAACATGAAGCACTGGACTACAGTTTCTTTAGTGGGAGATTTGTGCGTTTTCAGCAGCTAGAACACCCAATATAAGCAAGCCTGAAAAAATTGACAATATGAGACTATGAAATGAAATGAAGAAATATATACTTAATAAATAGACATACTGTCTACCTGTTTTTCCATATATCATTAGAAAATTTGGAAGTACAGATAGATTACTTTTAAACCTAGAAAGTGTGTTGTAGCAACACAATACTATATACACATAGTCTTATAGTAGATTAACACACAAATGGTAGTTCCATGTGTGTGTCATTTAAAAGTCCAAAAGCCATGAAGCTACATTACCGATAACTATACATCATGGAAACTTATTCCTATTTTATAAGCCTATAGATGACTTGGCTATTACCAATACTAATTATTCTTAAATACATGTACCCTAGACAGTTAAGGTTCAGCATCCAAGTTCTGGTCAGTAGTTGGTTTACTAGACTGATCTTGAGTTGAAAGGACTTCATCAATAGCAGTGTTATGTGCTGGTGTGTCGGGGGTTTCATCCTGATCAGTTTCATTGTCCTCAGACAACGCATAGCGTAACTTTTTCTGAGCAACACTCTTCACTCTAGGTAACTCTGGTTTTTTTGCAATGCTGTAATTATCTGTAAGGAAAAATCATGTAGACTGTTATACTTTTAAAAATACTTTATTCTTCAAAGATAAATTAAATTTATACCTGTTAAATGGAAAAGACAAATATGCAGCAATAGGTAGTTATATGTAGGTAATTATATGTTGATGTTCTGAGTATATCCAGCTGCACATTTTAGCAATTAGTATTTTGTTGTCAGAAAGCATTTTAAAATTATAAAGACAAATGAACTAACTTTTTTTTTCTTTTCAAAAATACTTGGTAATAGTACCTGATACACTGGTCTTCAAATTATTCCTGATAATGTCAGTATATCATAAGACACAACATTCCTTACAGAATCTGGATGGTAACCTTCAGGAGCCTTTGTGGTATAGACCACAACATTTTTGGCCTTCTTAGCCTGAGACAGCGCTACATAGAGCTGACCATGTGAGAAACATGATCGAGGAAGATACAACAATACGCTGTTGAGAGTCTGCCCTTCTGACTTGTTAATTGTCATAGCAAAGCTTAATTTAATAGGAAATTGTTTCCTTTCGGAAAGAAAAGGGTAATTACCACCTGAAGAAGGCCGGAGATTTACCCGATGTAATAAAACGTGTCCCCTTATATTGACCAACAGAAATCATACATTCAACAACGTTAGGAAGGAACCTCTTGCATATCAATCTTGTACCGTTGCACATACCAGAAGAAGGCATTAAATTACGTAATAGTATCACCAGACAGTCTTTTTTAAGAACAAGTTCATGAGGACTCATTCCTCCGGGACACAATTTATTGATAAATTCCGTGGGATAGATGTTGCATGTATCATATAACATTATATCAAAACTCTCGTAAACAACTGATTCTCTAGCAAACTGGTTTATTAGAGCAGAATTCACCAAATCAACATCATCATTTAAAGGTGTTAGAATAGCCCTATCTGTAAAAATATCAGGAGTCATATTGCCATCATTGAGTTCAGGAAATGTTGCACTTACGATTTTTATAATAGGATCCTCCCCAGCAACCAGATGATGAACCATTCCCTCAGGTAGTCTGACAAATTCGTTTTCACTTTTCTGTAATTCACCATTACCTAAGGACAACAAAAAATGAACAGAAGGCAGGATCTTCCCGAACTCTTTGATTTTCTGTTAGCCTAAATCTGGTAAGCTGTGGCCATATATGTGAAAGCACTATACTTGATTCAACAGCTTGTTTTTGTGACTTATGAGGGACTACTGGTAACACCTGCCGAAAATCCCCTCCTAGAACAACCATCTTTCCACCAAAAAGCAGTGTGTTTTCACATAGATCTTGTAGTAATAAATCAAGAGATTCTAAATTAGCCTTGTTGGCCATTGAGCATTCATCCCATATAATCAAGGTTGTTTCTTTTATTAAAAACGCTAAGCTACCTTGTTTAGGCACGTCACATGCTAATTAAGCTTCATAGTCAACTGGTATTTTAAACCTTGAATGGGCAGTTCGGCCTGAAGGCAGATTTGAAGCTGCAATACCAGACGTAGCCGTGGGAAGTACAATTTTGTTCATAAGTCGAACTTCTGCATACAAAGAATTATATAAAAATGTCTTCCCTGTACCACCTGGCCCATCAATGAAGAATGCACCTCCCTTCCCTTCATGTATGCGTTCCATTATACAGACAAATGCATTAAGCTGAGCAGCATTGAGACGTTCCTTTGAATTGATATATTCTTCAGGAATAGGTGCATCCAAAGCATCACTAATATCTCTTGTTATTCTGTATTCACTGCCAACGCTTTTGCTCAAATGTTCTAAGCCGAAACTTGTAAGTGATTTGCCCATTGCTTCAAGATACTGCTCAATTGAACTAGCAGTTAGCTGTTTAATTTTCTCAGAATTGTTGTTATACTTATGTCGAAAATCTTTTGATAAAAAGGAATAGAACTCCTCCTGCAAAGCCGGCGGATCACTGGGTTGGCAAAAGATTAGAATTGTTGCAAATAAACGTCTCAGTGCATCTGGTAGCTGTATTTCAGATGCCTCAGTTAAACACACAAATGCTGGACCATCATCTTCTAGAAGGCCAAGTCGTTTGGCTGCCTCTTGAAATGTGTTACAAACACAACCAGCCACAGTTCGTAAATCCAAAAAGGACTCTGCATTTCTAACATTGAGAAGTAAAAGTCGCAAGAAGAAACGTTCACCCTCTGCTGGAAGAACAAATGCCATACGACCAACAACAGTCAACTTTGAACTTCTTTTCACCCATTCTTTTGGAAGAATACTCACGTGATGCTTCTTCATCAAGCAGGTCTTCAACTGTATGAACCACACAAGAATTGATAGGATCAGGAACCAAATGGGCTTGCTGATTTGCACTATGACTTCGTTTTTTAAGATTTGAGTCTAACCACACTCACCATGAGGAAACAACAACGGATACTGCAACGGGTCATAACACCCATAATAATGATAGATTTTATGAGATTGAGCTGATTTTCCACACACAAGAATGTGTGGGCTAATAGTCTGATATGTAGATACAGTATCTGGCCATACCGCAGCAACTTCATCTGTCGACGGTGCATTGTAAACACGCTGATCTAACACCGTGTTCTGATTTAATACAATATTCGTATTTTCATCCACCTGAATTTCTCTCAGTGATCTGAAAAATCTTGCATATGGATTCTTTTCAATCACCTTCATTAATATATTTATAACATCCTCCCTTAACTCTGGAAAAGTGGAAAGCATCCAAGTCGATTATTGACTTCACGCTGACCATCATAAAAATATAACTGCAAATATTTAGGATTATTATCAACAGGCAAAAGGTCTGGAACAAAATGGTACATTTGCCCGTGCATTTTGAAAACATAAATTCCTTTATATGTCTTTGCATCAAATTTTCCTCCTAAGGAACTATAGGCAAAAAGATTAAATTATATACTCGACTATATTGTTTAAAATGCCTAGCATCTTCATCTTGTGATGTAAATAGTCGGTGCAATTCAGCAGGGAATTTATTCACAGCAATTACAACCTCTCCATTGCAACAACAAAAATGCAAACTCTCATACTTAAATTTCTTTGCATTGCATTGCAAACAGAAATGAGCATTTCCAAATAGTAACCGTCCTTCAGGTAAAGAATTTCAATTGTATCTAATATAAAATGTTAAAGCTATCATGGGTTTTCAAATCTGACAACAATCCTAAAATCTAGATTCAAATTACAACTAACATTTTCCTTTTGTTGATAGCCAACATTTACAAGAGGAAAAGTCCAAAAAGATATTTTCTTTGTCATAAATTTGACTTCACTATTGCACTATGGGGAAAATGACCAAGTGGAAAGTTGTACAGTTGCACTTAAAACTCCTTTCTTCAGTATGGAGATATATAGCTAAATTCAGAATAGCTAAATTCTTAAAGCAATGGATATTGATAATAATGCGTGTAATTATTTTAAATTTGATTTTGAATTTGTTGTGTTTATAATCTACATCAAAATATGTGGTGTAAAATGTAGTATAAAAGTTCTTAAATTTTTTAGTTTGTTAATAAAAATTCTTAATTTGTTTTGTGGTAGTAATCTTTAGGTCATTAAAATCCATTTCCCACATTCGTTTATCGATTTTATTTGCCTTTTACAGAGTATATGGAATAATAAATTAACTTCAAACATAGACCATTTAGTTCATCATTTGTCTTTCAAAAGGCTTTTCTGAATCATATTGTATGACAACTACAGACTAATATCGATTATTTGGATATTTCTATTTAGAACTTTTTCCTTACCCTTCCTAAAGACCTAATTTGGGTTATTGAGACTCTCCTCTACCAGGAATATTAAATCTAAATTATGATGGGTCTGTTGTTAACAATTATGCAGTAACTAGTATGATGATTCGTGATCATAATGATGTCGTATGATGCTTTTTATCCATTAATTCATATTTTAGGATTATGTAGCCTCTTTTCAGTCGAAGTTACTGCTCCTACAAACCTAATTGTATTCGTGTATCTTCTATTGAAAAAAAAAAAAAAAAAAACTCACTAAAATGGACCCTTAAAGCCCAATATTGAATTCCTTTCAAAAAAAAAAAAAGCCCAATATTGAATTCATGTTCAATCCAATAGAATTAGACCCGAATTTTGATAAATCGGCCATTTCTCACCAAAATCTCTCCTACTTGTGAATCCATAAACCCTAACCCCTAACCCTTCTCCCTCTGTCTTTCTCACACAGAACGACCGCCATTCTTCTCCTTCAAATAGCTACTTTTCTCTCTTCATTTTTTATCAAAACCAAAAATGGTGAAGAAAAGCAAAAGTAAGCTTAACCCACTAACCGTAAACTCCTTAATTTGTCTGGGTTGTTAATAAAGATTCTTAATTTTTCTGGGTTGTTGATAAAAATTCTAACTTTGATTTTATTTGATTTGATTTTTATTGCAGAGAGTAAGAGTAATAGGGTCTCATTGAAGAAGAAGTATAAGATTATAAAGAAAGTGAAAGAGCATCACAAGAAGAAAGCTAAGGAAGCAAAAAAACTTGGAATTAATAAGAAGAGTAAGATTGAAAAGGATCCTGGTATTCCTAATGATTGGCCTTTTAAGGAGCAGGAGCTTAAATCTCTCGAGGTTAAACGTGCTAAGCTCGTCGAAGAAAAGGAGCAGAAGAAAGCTGCCCGTAAAGAAAAGGTATGTGATTTTTAATTTGTTTTTGTGAGTAATTTTTAAGGTTTTCATGGTTATTATATTGTACTTATTTTTATGTAATGTAATGTAATTGTTATGTTACTCTCGACTCTTCAATTCACCTCAAGTACCCGTGTTGGATACGCGACAATTGGACATGGACATTTAGACACTTAAATTTAACAAACAAAATTATGCAAAAAAGGGGTGGCGTTTTGTCAGGGGCTTAGTGTTTAGATTCTATAAGTATGCCATAAACTTAGTAAACATTTTATATAAATTCAGATTTCAAAATAGTAGGGGAATTTTGGGGAAAGTGTTTGGAACTATGGATGTGATTGGAGAATGGAGACTTGTTTCTAACATCTTAGTTGTATAGATTTAAATGAATCGATGATGACACTAGAGCAATTAACTGTTTTATTCATTGATTGATGGAAATTATGCTTTGGTATTTAGAATAATGGGTGGATTATATTGTGACTCCAAGTGCCATAAGTAATCAAAATTTGAATTAAGATGTATGCTTTGTTATGGAGTATTGGTTTGGAGTACAATAATAGAGTACATATGGTGTAATTTAGTTGATTAGCTTAGCTGCTTTGGAATATTTTTTTTTTGGGGGGTCTTTTGATAGAGTTGATCTTGTTAAAAGTTATTGTTGATGACTGTGAAGTGAAAATATAGAAGCGGTTATTTAATATCTAAGGTGAAGGGGGAGAAAAAAGATACGCCTTTGAAGAAAGTATACAAGTAATTGGTTAGCAAAATAATCCTGAGATGCTATTAACAATGCTTAAACACAGGCTGAACACTAACAGAGTATATAGTATTATTTATTATACACATAGCAGCTTGACTAGACCCAAAGTTCTTAGGGGAGTCATTTCCCCTGCCAACATCACCTTCCATCAGTTCGTGTTTGCATCTGTGTGTTTGGAGCTTTGGAGGATTGGATGGTGAGAATGGGAGGGGGTCATTGCACATCATTTAGCATGATATTGGCTATTGATACCTTACGTTCTGATGTTGTTGGTTGACCAAAATTTAGCTTGATTTAGGCAGGTCTAATTCCTATAGTACGCTAGCAGAACTTTTGACTCACCCCTTTCCAAAGGATGTGCTGTATAGAGTACGTTGTTGGTTGATTAGTCTTCATAGAAAATGTTTAATTTAAGCATGATTACTCTTTTAGTGAAAAGTGGGAGGTATTATGTATCTATAGGCTGTCTAAAATTTAAGCATGCTTGTTCTTTTAGTGAAAACTGGGAGGTATCATGTATATGTAAGCTGATATCTTCTGATGCTTCCATCATGTTTGTAGGCTCAGAAAAGAAAGTTAGGATTACTTGAGGACAACACTGAGGAGCAACCTGCTGAGGAGGTTATAGAAGCAGATCCAGCCAAAGAATTCATTAGAAACCGAGGTATGTGAGGTTTGCAAAACAATAGAGTTTGCTACAACTTAAATTACAGATATTTACTTACCTGCACATGATTTTCCTTGTAGTAGTGAACTAATGATTTTGAGATTTTATGCAGATAATTCTGACAGGGCGTTTTACAAGGAGCTAGTCAAGGTTATTGAGGCATCTGATGTTATTTTGGAAGTTCTTGATGCCCGTGATCCCCTTGGTACTAGATGTGTAGATATGGAGAAATTGGTTCTTAACTCGGGTCCCAGTAAGAAGCTTGTTTTGCTGTTGAATAAAATTGGTACGTCTTTCTTTTAGCTGCTTGATGTTTTGTTGTAAGACTAGTTGTCCATTATGAAGTCTAAGTCTGCTGCCTTCATGCTAGTCAGATGCTCTGAAAACTTTATGCATGTTCAAATTATATCTTCAAGGCAGATAGTCATTGTTTTGGGGGTTGTGGTGGTTGTTGGTAGATGAGCATAAATTTGAACTAAGCTTAGTGCCGATATTATGAATTTCATTTTGATTTATTCATTCTTTCATGTGCCTCTGAGATTGAGGGATTGTTTTTGTCCCTAGCCTAGTAACTCATGTTTTGGTAATGGATCACACCATGCTGGTGTCGTTTTATAACAATTTATTATGTGGATGAAGATTTTGATAGTTTTTTGCACTTGTTTTTCCTCAAGTGGAAAAAGTTTAAGCTATTCTATATTGAAGAAAAATATGGTTTGTTTATGGTACTCATCTGCTGTATTCTAAATTGTTGCCTATATATCAGATCTTGTACCTCGTGAAGCTGTTGAAAAATGGCTAAAATATCTTAGAGAAGAACTACCAGCAGTGGCCTTTAAGTGCAGCACCCAAGAGCAAAGATCAAACTTGGGGTGGAAGTCCTCAAAGTCCTCAAAGGCTGCTAAACCTAGCAACATTTTGCAGACCAGTGACTGTCTTGGAGCAGACACTCTAGTTAAGTTGCTTAAAAATTACTCAAGGAGTCACGAGGTAAGAGTTTAAAAGTCCGTGAAACTTTTCAGACTTCCATCCATCAGTGTATATCAGTTGATGTTACCTATATTAGTACTGTGATTGTTAACAAGTCATCTTATCATTTAATCACTCATTCTCTGTTGATTTGGGGACTTTGCAGATCAAAAAGTCAATAACTGTTGGCATTGTGGGGCTACCCAATGTTGGAAAGAGTAGTCTCATCAATAGTTTGAAGAGAAGCCATGTTGCTAATGTTGGTGCAACTCCTGGATTAACAAGGTCTCTGCAAGAAGTTCAGTTGGACAAGAATGTCAAGTTGATGGACTGTCCTGGAGTTGTTATGCTTAAATCTGGGCAGAGTGATGCAACTGTAGCCCTTAGAAATTGCAAACGAATTGAAAAGCTTGAAGATCCTATTGCACCAGGTTACTATTTCCTACCTTCAATCTTCACTTGGTGGTTGCTGTAATTGGTGCATTGTTTATGATCTAACGAGTTGGTTATTTGCTGATAGTCTAAAATTCTAAATTTTCTTACAGTCTCTTTTGTTGCCGGTTACAAATAGCAGTAGTGGAAATGAATTTAAGTGTAATTTAACGAGCAAAGTAAATTCCTATAGTCCATACTCCATAGTAACACAATCTCCCAGACTGATACTCTTTCTATAATTGTCCGTTAACACCTAATACCGCTCCCCAAATGGTTTTGAATGGTAATGAATATTTGTTAAGAAACATAAATAATATGGGTTAAACTAGCATTACCTTGGGAATGGACATCAATTTTCTTACAAATTTATATAAAAGTCAATCTCATTACCACATATTATTAACACTTAGCAAATGGGCCAATTTATGAAACCAAACCACAAGACTATCCAATCAATCTTGGATTCACAGAGGAGAATAGTCCAATTCTTGTTTTGATTGATCCACATCTTATCCTCTAATTTGCTTTGTTGATGAAGTTACTAACACATTGCAACATATAGTCCATTCTTGTTTTGATTGATCCACATCTCATCCTCTAATTTGCTTCGTTGATGAAGTTACTAAGGCATTGCAACATATCCTAGAAGCTTTTGGAAAAAGAGAATAGGTTATGTTTGGGTGTTGAGTGCATACTTCATTAATTGCTTTAATATTGGATATTCAGTTGTTTTTTAACTCTTGTTTGTTTCTTTACTGAAGAAAGCGCTCTTTGGCACAAGTGTTTTTCCAAAAAAAATTCCATTACAGGTTAATTTTTGTATCTTGAATTTATATTAATTGTGTGTACAATCTACCTCTATGCAGTGAAGGAAATCCTAAATCTTTGCCCTGCCCAAGTGCTAGTCACATTATACAAGGTCCCTAGCTTCGATACAGTTGATGACTTTCTGTTCAAGGTGGCCACTGTCAGGGGAAGACTTAAGAAAGGTGGTATTGTAGATATTGATGCAGCTGCAAGGATTGTTTTGTACGACTGGAATGAAGGTATGCTCAAGTTAAAAAAAAAGATCTTATGTTCTCTGATTCTCTCAGTACTCTGTGAAGAGATGTAAGGAGTTGCTTTGTGAATATATTTGTCCGTTTTCTTTGTTTCAGGTAAAATTCCTTATTATACTATGCCTCCAACAAGGAACCAAGGAGAAGTACCTGATTCCGAAACTAGGATTGTTACTGAACTTGGTAAGGAGTTCAATATAGATGAGGTCTACGGAACTGAAACTTCTTTCATTGGAAGCTTGAAGTCGGTTGATGATTTCCAAACTGTTGAGGTTCCACCAAATTGCCCATTGAACTTTGATCAACAGATGATCGAGGTTTGCTCTTTTCCCATTCAGTATTTTCTATCCATCCATTTTAATTTTAATGCTTTTTTTTCCTAAGCTTGGGAAAAAAATGGTAGTTAGTTGGAAAATACATTGTATGTAACTACATCCCTCATTTTCACCAAACAGGAAGATCAACAAGCATCAATACAAAACAAGGTAGCCATTGATTTAAATGTAAACGGCGGGGATGAAGTTATGGAAGCTGAAGATGAGGAAACAGGAAACACCAAGGTAAAAAGCTCAGCAAGCAAGCAAAACGAGAAGCTTTATGATGAAGAAGGAATGCTCAACACAAAAAAGAAGCGAGCAGAAAAGAAAAAACGAAAGAAGGTCAGCAAGCAAGTTGCATCAGAGGATGCTATGGATGGTGATTACGATTTCACAGTGGATTTCAAGCAAGGAGGATCGTCCATGAAAGTTGATGAAGATGACGATGAGGATGAAATCAAAGCAGAGGTGCCAATGGCTGGTATAGAGTTTGACGATGAGTGATAATAAGTCGATTGATCTCTTTGATTCATTGTCTCACCCTAAATTTTTGATAGTATACATTATTTCAGAAGAAATTGTTGTAGACGAAGAATGCAAAATATTCAAAGTTGATATGCATAGTGAAAGTTTGTTCCTTAAATGTTTGTTTCATTGATATTACTTTCCGGATCCAGCAGTCAAACACCTTTGCAGCCACTTTGCTTTTCGAAGTAAAATGAAATTTTTTTTTTTGAAAAACTTTTGAAGGGTCAGTGATTACTGCGGAGCTAGCAGGGTTATTAGGTTAGGAAACTTGGGATTATTTATTTATTTTTTTTATTTTTTTTGGCAGCCGAAAGAGTGAAAGACGAACAAAAAACTAAGTCGCTGTCCTAGCCGTAGTTGCTGGGGAGTGGGTTCTAGCCATGACACGACTACAGGGTTTTTTACCGTTGGAAGAGAAAAGGGAAGAGTCTGAATAGTCAGTCACTCAACTAATCTAGAACTCAGGTTCATTCAAGCATTTCCTCCATAAAGCAGTTCTTCCTTTCCATTTCATCACTTCAAAAACCTACCTTTCAAAATTTTATAGCAATCAGGTAAGGCCGAGGCCAATAGGAAGTACAGATATCCATTCAACCAAAAACCAACCACGAACCGAAACCGATCGGGGAGACCGGGGGATATTTTCTCAATCGCTTATGCGAAGCTTGAGGAAGGACCTACCGACCGATTTCGAGAGCAGCTACTTCTCCTTCATCGTAGTACATTAGTTTTTTTTAAGATGTATGAGAAATGACACCTTCTGGCTTCTAGTGAAGAAAGTTGGCATATTATAATGATTTCTGATTTCATTAATAAATGGTAATTTTTGGCTTAAACATCAATTTAAAATAATCATTTAATCTTACGCATTGGTACTGACAATTAGGCGTGACATGACAGGCACATTAACATTCTTTTTAATTGTGTATCACAACTTGTAATTTTGTTTTCGCTCTAAATTCAAAGAATGTTGCTTTGAAAAATCCTCAAATAGATTCTCCTGTGCTTAAACTTGTATTAACAATTTAACAGGAATCAATTTTCTAGCTAGACGGCTGATGCCCATAGGCTTATACGCTACTCTCCAAATTGCAGTCGCTATTATAGACGTATGCACCTCACACGTCGTATATAGATGGGCAAATGGTGCATGTTACTACAAGTAATCAACTATATAGACACCGCCTCACATTAACATAGCTAGGTACATCATACTCGCTTCACAAGAAAGGGTATTAAAGCAATATAATGTGACATACGAGTTCGAGTAACACAATTTTCAAATTTAAAAAATTTATATACAACGGATGTATTTTATGTGAAATACGAGTACGAGTAACACACATCTCGAATAAAATAATATTTATAATGTTAGATTATTTTATTTGCAAAACATATTAAAATTTATATACAATGGATGTATTTTATACAAAACGACTGCATATTAAGTTACGCAAAAGTTCGAGATCGAGACGAGGGCATGTGGGGCGTGGGGTGTCAATGTGTCATGTCACCATAATAATTTGATTATTTGTTGGCAATCTTGGCAATAAAACAGAAAGTTTTGAATTTCAATACACTTGTGAAAACCCCACGAAGCTTCTTATAGTAACAATTGCATGCCAAATTGCCAGCCGAACAAGTTGTTCCTGACCTCTCAAGAAATTGAACAAATACAAGGTTTTTCATCTTCTCTCTCCACTGTAATCTTTCTAATCTTGTCAAGTTTTTCTGGGTTGTTTATTGTTTTTAAAAAATTTGCTAAACTGGGTATTATTGCTATAGTTTTTGTGAATTGGAAGTTGTGTTTGTTAATAGGAGAAAAATATTCGTTTATACATTTTGTATGTTTGTGTTATTGCCCGCAGATTGTTTGATAAATCTCTAGAATAAGATTGAATTTCATTGTTAGATGACTGTATCTTGTGCATGAATGTAAAAGTTAAAGTTGATGAATTTATTTATGCTTGTTAATTGTTGGGAATTGATAATATGAGAAGCTATGTTTTAACTTTACATTCCTATTAAAAGTGCTAATTTTGCTCCATTTTTGGGTAAAATTTAAAGTATTTTGATGATAATAGAGTACTCATATAATGCTAAGTAGATGGAAGCCCGTGTGATGCACGGTTTTTTTATCTAAGATTTTTAATTATTTGATTTATTGTATTTAATAATTTCAAACAAAATTACTAAAGTTAAATATATTTTTTCTTTTTTACTATATTTCATAATGAATTTATTAAATATAAATAAATTGTAAATAAGTTTATGGATGGACTTCTTGAGAAATGGGGAGATGTTTGTCATTGGGTGACAAGTCATTGGTGTATTCACAATTAGCTAGAATGGCCTGGGCTGCTTTACTGCAGTAGTTTCACTTGAGGCTCAAACTTTATGCTCTTCATGTTTATATGAATGAAATTCTGTATCCTGTAACACTTCGTAATATTAATGAAATCGAATATGGTAGTTATAGTTGTTTCATGTGATGCAAAATGAGTGCTTATATATCATTTATTGGAGAATGATGTTTATGCTTTCCTTATATTTGTAAGTAATCGGGGAATCCATATGTATAAAAGCTAAGGTGATCTTCCATGAGATCCCTATGTTTTTGTACTTGAAAGATTTTATCTGCTATGCTAGATCGATATCCATCTGCTCCTCCGAAGATTTTTATGCACCTACATTGACTAAATGCAGGATAACATTGTCTTTGATATATCTTGATAGAGGCCAGGCATCTTCTTTATCCTCAATTTTTTAGGATGCAAGTTCTCTCTATTTTCTTATTCTTTTGGCGCTTTCTTCCTGAATTCCCTCCTTGACTCTGGTCTGTTTATGATAATGTATATTTTCATCTTGTAGTTGATTTGTGCTCTAAAGTTTCAACACCTAAACACTTAAGAGACAAACATCATGTTTAAATTCCCAGAACATCAGGTTGCAGGCCACCTGGCCCTTGGAGGAAAATTAGGCCCGCAGATAGACGAATCAGGGCGCTTTTGCAAGCCTCTCCAGGAGGATGAACGAGGCTCTAGAGAGGTTGCTTTCTATGAAGCACTCTATTCTACCTCAAAAGTCAAGAAGCAAATTCTTCGCTTCTTCCCTGTATTTTATGGTACACATATTACTGAGGCGTCTGATGGATCAGGACTGCATCCTCACCTTGTTTTGCAAGATGTTGTCTCGGATTACTTAAAGCCGTGCATCATGGACATCAAAATCGGATCCAGAACATGGTATCCTCAAGCATCAGAGGATTATGTTGCGAAGTGCCTTCGTAAAGATAGAGGAACCACCAGCCTTTCCTTGGGTTTCAGGATATCTGGCCTGCAGATATACCGAGGCAAAAAATCTGGTTATTGGAAACCTGACAGGAAGCAAATTCAGAAGTTTACAGCAGATGATGTCAGATCAGTTTTGAGGAAGTTTGTGTCTTCAAATCAATTAGGTGATTCAGATTGCAAACCTGATTCTCCACCAGCATGTTATATATATGGTGGTTTCTCTGGAATTTTTCAACAATTGCTGGAACTAAAATCATGGTTTGAGGATCAAACAGATTTTCACTTTAACTCTTGCTCAATCCTCTTAATTTACGATGGTGAATCTGAAAAGAATGGTGGAAATCCTCAGTCTACGATTAAGCTTATTGATTTTGCACACGTGTTTGACGGCAACAATGTTATTGACCATAACTTCTTGGGTGGTCTTTCCTCGTTAATCAAATTCATTTCAGAGGCATCTGCCACACAGCTCAGCAAACCCAAATGGTTGGATGCTCCGGCTGCTTAATGATGTTTAAGTTTCTCATGCTTTTTCGACTGTCAAAACTGTGGTTCCGATCTGTAGCTCTGAACTCAGAGTTTGATGCTATAGTTTGCTACTTTTTGGAAAGCAACAGCTTTAGCATGCTACGGAGGAAATGCTATTCTTGGTAATTTGCACCTTGTTTAATCAACTAAGCTAATCATGAAGCCTCGCATTTGCTACTAATCCTTTTATTTGATCAGAATAGAGTGTGTGAACTGTGAAGTATGTGATTCTGTTGGAAAAACAAGTGAGTTTTAAGGATGTCAATAGTTGATTAAAGCAGGTTATTGAGGGGTGTTTAATCTACTGAACTTGATTCATAGAGTTTAGCAATATCAAAACATAATCGAAGTATAATTTAGCATTTCATTTGACTTTCAAGTCAGGATTTGACACCTCTAACACTAACGTGTTGATAAAAATAGATGGTCCAACTAGAAGATTTGTGTGCAAGTTGAAGTTTTCCTTATGGCGGGGTACCCCATTGCTTGGAATCCGGGCTTGACGCGGATCCTAAGCACGGTCGGTTGCTCTTACAAGCCAACCAAATTCTCTCCCTTTTCTACTCAAATTGCACTTATCAAATCTTTATCAATAATAACATAATACTAAAATAGACACCAGAAATGACACGTGTCACTTCCTGGTTCTGTATTTTCCCTCCAAAACCACCTTTTTTTTTTTTTTTTTTTCATCAAATCTTCTTCAAAATATATTTACCATATATTACAATAATTAAATCTTCCTATTTGAATACCATTTTTATTATAGCAAATGTCTAAATATATCACCAAAATATTATTCCTTAACATATTTTTTTCTAAATTAAATCTTCAAATACATTCAAATCAATGATTTTTATATTACCTTCATTTTTTTTAGTTGCAACAAAGGAATTTTTATATCTCACAAATAATACCCCTTTGTTGCAGCTAAAAAAAGTAACGGAGGTAGTATTAAAAGTGAAACTAGGACTTACATGTGTCATTTTATTATTAAAAATTTTGCCTCCATTTTTTTTTTCTTTGCAAAATTTGCAGAAAATAATTTTTTTTTTTTTTGAGACCTTGAAGAAAATAATATAGAACATATTCAATTGGACAATAATATTTTTTCCATATACACTCAACTGGAATATTTTTACATATCTTTCAAATATTTTATATTTTTTCCTTACAAAAATGAACAAAGATTAGTAAATATTGAATTAATACTTTTATCTAAAATTTATTCCTGTAATATTATCATTTTTTTTCTTTTGTTCAACTTTACTACTTTTATAATAAAGTTTATTTCAATTAAAAAAATAAAAAATCATTGTGGTATCATATATACTACGTATGTACAAATATATCTTTATTTTTTACATTTATAAAAGTAGTATCAATAATAGCACGAGCGTATCAAATTAGATATTTATTTTATTAATTAATATAAAATCCCACAGGCATAAACTTGACATTGTATAAGTATAAAAATAATGATGTTGTTGAATTTTCAATGCAATTTTGTCACAATATACTCCATAAAAATTTGTTAACAACTGTGTGACAAAATTCATTAATTATTTGTATCAATGAATTTTTTGAGTAAACCGTTAATGTTAGACTTTAAAACGCAGAAACAACACTCATAATCTCATACTATGACACCGTACTATATGTCTATCACTATCGTATTGTACACAATACTTTGTAAACATGATTACAGAGCTCAAAACTTTTTCCACGAGTCTTTAAAAAGGATCAAAAAATTGATTGTATTAGAGTTATCAATACTATAATACATTAGTAATTTGGTGATGTTATGAAATAAATTTAAAGGAAAACCCTAAAAAAATTAGGGATTGTTGAGAAAAAATAGAAAGTCCAATCAAGAAGATTAGTGTGCAGGAGTTTTCATTTTGGGCGGGTACCCGTTACTTGGAACCCAAGTACCCAACTCAGGGGAAGGAGGGAAGTATAGCAGCTTGGGCCTGCTGCTCTCGTTAACCCAAGTACCCCCCCTTTTCTACCCAACTACGCCACTTTCTCAATTCTTAAAATGTTCTATCAATTTATTGCTCCCACTCGGGTCACAAGCCCACGTCACTGAACCCAGCAATTATAATTATCCTTTTCATGGTATTTATTAATTGCTACAAAATCATGTAATTTTATGATATGGGAATTGGGAACCCTTTATTTTGAAAATTATATGCAAGAGAGTTTCCTTCTACTAAGCAAAAGAATAGGAAATACTTTGTACAAAGAAGCCAATGCCAACCGAAACCAATATTTATATTAAAATCATCCCATTCCGATCCAAGTAATCAACCACTGACAATGACAAGTTTATACGAAAATAATAAGAAATGGATTATTTTTAGATTATAAAACCTCTTTCTTTTTTGTAAGTGCATGACTTAGGCTTTTGCATTAATAAGGTTCATTTCAATAAAAATGACTTTTAATCTGTAACTTTAAAAAAAATCCCACTGAGTACATGGTTTTTTCCGTATCTTCCAGGTACGCATCATGACACCTGACCCATAAGTACACCCTCCAACTACGAGCATAAGAACAATAAATATCGATTAATCTCCTTGATTTTTATATGGTGATTGAAACGAGCCACAATTTCCAATTCCAATTCGCATTTGCTCTTAAAGAAAAAAGTATGTTTTTTTTTATGGCTATTTAAGCACAAAAGTATAAAAATAATAAAAAAAAAGTGATGGTCCAATTGGAGTATCAACCAAATGGGTACTAATGGGCCAAGGAGGCGCAAGCCCGTAATCCTTCCACTGACGAGAGCGGGAGGTTTTCGTTGCTCTGTGAAACCAGCCTGACGCAGTACCCTCCACTTTAGGGCCCAAGAAGATTGGGCTTTCGCCTAACCCACATGGGCCAACTCTTAACTTGGATAGGGCGGGCCAACATAATGTCAACCATAATCCCGACCCAATTAGTCGAAATCCTGTTCCATCACCTTAATGCTCCCACTTGGGTTACAAGTCCACGTTACCGAACTCAGCGACAAGTATCAGCATCTTTTGGTATATAAACTTAGAAAATAGTTTGTGAACTTTCGATGTGGGACTTAATATCTCTTTTGGCTTATGTTAAATTTCTTTCACTAACATCTTATCTAAAGCGTAAAGATTGTTTTTAGCTGCCCTTTATGCAAGTATTGTACATAGTACTAGTTTACCATTGAACAATAGATTTTTCATCTATAAACAACAAAGTAAATCAATGTTGGAATTGCGTATTGACACACAAATGAAAAGTTAAGTTGTATTATAGGTAGAGTTTGATAATATTAGATGTTGAAATAGATGTCAGCTTCCTTATTGCTCATATGTTGCAACTAATGAGCTTAGTTTGATCTCTTCGTTAGAAATTCCTTTGAGAGGATATGTTTATCTACTTATCTTATTTCAAGATACAATTTAACCATAAATTTATTTAAATTTGTATATTTCATATACTTCTTCCATTCCATATGTCACAAACATCATTTCACAAAATATATGGGAGTCACAAATCTCACAATTTACAAAATTTAATCATATCTACTATCTAGCCCACGTAACTTGCTAATATGTTATTTTAGGGATGTACTGTAATATATTGTTACAAGGGATTTCATGATCACTTTCATTTCATGCTATTATTGGTGCATTAAAAAAATGGTTGCAAATTATGATGTGTCATCATGCTACCTCTCACAAGTCAACCCATGTTAACAGACAAAACTTCTTGAAATCGGGGAGGATAATGATAAAGGAATCACTATTCACTACCTGTCTAGTTGTCTACCCTCAAGTTGACGGTTAGTGAAGATAGATCCCACGATCTCATAGTTTTGAGTAATTTGAAATTCAATCCCTACTAGTATACCACATGTCCACATATAATACTTGAATTGCCTACTTAATGAAACACTATTCATTTGGAAGCTATGGGAAGTTCAAAACTTTTCAAAGAGTCTTTAAATAAGATCAACTTGTATTATTAATGGAATCAATAATTTATAATAAATTAGTAATTTGGTGAAATTCTGAAAACTCACCACAATTTCTTACTTTTTTTTTCGGTTCTCTATTTTATTGGAAAAGACTGTTAAGATTGTACTACTTCTTATCCTATGTAACTTATCACGTGGTTTATCGTTTTTTATGACAACATGAACTATAAGGAGTTGCAATTTTTTTCCCCAAAAGCTATATTAGAGTTTAGGAAACTTATGTGCCAAGAGTTTTCATTTAGATATCACGAAATATAAGGAGTTGCAATGTCAACTGGAACGAACATTAATTGAAATCTAAAGAATACTTTGTATTTTTTTTTCAAGTAAAAAGAAGAGTCTATTGAGCTGAAACCTCTCACAAGTCAACCTGGTCCGGATTAGCGGGTTAAGCCTTTTGAAAGTGAAGGGAAAGGATAAGGAAATCCACATCCCCAAAGTGTCTCTAGTAGGGTATGATTTCGCAACTTAGTGGGACAACCTTACCATTAGACTAAGCTTAGTATATGAGGTTCTATGTATTATCAAGGATTTTTTTTTTATTATTTTTTTTATTTTTTAATGAAACCTATAATATCACGATTTTAAATAAACGATGTGTATTAAACTTTATTAAATAAATTAAAAACATTCAAGCCTACAAATATTGGATTAGAGATAAAATTAAACCATGTGTATTAAGCTTTAAAAATTTATTAAATAAATTAAAAAGATTCAAGCCAACAAATATTGGATTAGAGATAAAATTAAACCATGTGTATTAAGCTTTAAAAATTTATTAAATAAATTAAAAACAATTAAGCCAACAAATATTGGATTAGAGAGAAAATTAAACGATGTGTATTAAATTAAACTTTAAAAATTTATTAAATTAATATTGGATTACCGAGAAAATTAAAAATGATAAGGACGAAAATAAACATTTTAAAAAATAATGGTCCAATGACTAATTTACAAGTCATTTAGTAAGTACGCCCAACAGAACAATGCTTGCAATTGTTCCAAAACCTTAATGCGCCCACTTGGGTTACAAACTCTCGTTACTAAGCTGAGCAATCCTTTGAACTTGGTATGTGTATATTAACTATGCAATTAATGTTGTGATTAATGAATGTGGGAAATTTTAAATTATGGTGTTCCTAAAATTATCTATGTGCCATGTGGACTCCTTCTTACACTAGCATCACGACACATTACAAATCAAGAATTTTTATTCCATGTCGTCATTAACTAAAAATAATGTATACTCCGTACAAAGAGGTTTGAACACCAAACCTCATTGAATGAAAATTTCACTTATGACCATCTTAACTAGAAATAAATCATACTCTATTAATCTACACAAATATATAGAAGTATATACATATTGGAATGTAGAATATAAGCAAAGAAATATGTAAAATAATTTATTGTTGTCATTGTATAATAATTACTCACGATAAAAAATCAACAAGTCTCTAAAGTCCAAAAGAATTAAAATTGCTCAAAGTAGCACCGGTAGCAAAGTCTGGCTCACACACTAATTATCACATAAAAAACAAGCTTCTATAAGGTCTTAAGAGCTTCTGCTATTTTATCAAATGTGTTTAAGTTTAGTTTTAGCCAACATATTGTCATTGTTTTATTGCGTACTTTTAGTAATTGTTAACGTACTTGCTATATTGCAATGAGGACGATGTTGAAACAATATGGGAACGAATCTTTATGTTACAAACAACAACAATAGTTAATACTCCGTATTAATTAATCTCTGTTTAATTGAAGAATGAATCGAGTTGCAATTTTTTTTTTTTTTTCAAAGAAAACGAGCTAGTTCATTTAATCGAGTTGCAATTTTATAATAAATAAATGAGTAAAAAAATAATAAAAATTGCTATCTAAATGTATTGACTCGTATAAAAAGTGGTGGTCCATTAGAAGTTTGTAGTCAATTGTGCCGGCTTTGTGGGGGGAGATATCGTGTTTGGGTGTGACCTCATCCGACTCGTGGGGATTGTTTTCGTGGGTCTGTCCTATAGCTCTGCTTGTGTTAGCTGGTAGCTGAGTTTCATTCGTTTGTTGAATGAGCTACCGTCTCCTTACCTGGCACATGCTCTAAAACTTTCATATGTTCCACCACTTTAATGCTCCCACTTGGGTCACAAGCCTGTGTTACCAAGCTCAGCAATAGCCATTACTTTGTGTAAATGTCGTATGACTTTTTATAAATGGATTAATATAGTCCCAAAATAAAAATATAAAAAAAAAAAAAAAAAAAAAAAAAAATATACATTGTACTTCCAAAAAATAAGCTAAGTACATAATTTTTTTTAAAAAAAAAACTTAAAGCTGACATCATATAATTTATTAGTGATAAAATTTTTTAATGATAGCTTGACATATGTCTAAAATGATCGATGTAAGCATGACTTGTTTTAGTAATAGTTAATAGATTTTTTGAAGGGATAAAAATGTTATAAGTTAGTAAAATTATTACAGAAATATTTAACAGAAAACTCACTCAATTGTTATTATTTCATAAGATTTCAAAGCAACACCATGAACAAAAATGTTTTTTTTTTCCATTGAACCTCACTATCGTACAACTATATAATGGTAATTTAATTGTTAATATTGTATTGTTGGCCCCATTATTTTATACTCTCCATCATATTTCAACCTTCTAAATTATATATAGCTTATTCTCCCTTAATTAAAAGGTCTCAAAATCTTGTGTAACTATTTTAAGTAAATAGAATACGAAATAAAAAGGAATACAATTATTATAAAGATAATATATAAGATTAAAAATAATGTATTATTATAGTTGTATTATCCAAATATTCCAAAAATAAAAGATTTTCGCTAAAAAGGGAGATGGGAGTTTTGGAGGGAAAAAACAGCACTAGGAAGCTACATGTGTCATTTCTGATGTATGTTTTAGTATTATGTTATTGATTAAAAACCATAATAATAATTCAGAAATTGTTAACACCAAGTAAAATGTTATATTACGAATAATACTCACTCATACTCAATGACAATGCCTTCAAAAAATTCTGTCGGGTTCAGAACCTGGAGATCGTACAAATATATATACTTATATTAAGGTCATATATATTAATTAACAAATTGATTACTGTAACATTGTTAGTACGTAAATTAGTACGTTGTAGTAAAATTAAATGGCTCACCTCCAACCATTCTTGAGCCCCTGCAGGTTCCCAAGCAGCTACCCCGCCATTTTTACTCTGAAAATAAATAGTTGATATCGTATTATTTAATTTTATTTTAAATTTGGCCAGGAAAACTGAAATATGGCATAAAAATAGATATCACTTCAACTAAAGATAGATTGACGAGGTGGTGTAACATATTTAGTTTTTGGCCGTGAATGGCGAAAATTTAGGAAAATATCTACTACGACAGCTAAGTTCTACTCTACAATCACTCGACCTCTATATCAATATCAATCAATTTAATTTATCTACGTTACATGTACTCCTATAGATAATACGGAGTACTTCATTAAACATAGAGTTACAATAGCAATGGATTCTTACCTGTAGAGAAAGCAAGAGATTGACGGAATCATATAATCGCTCAGGGTCCATCTTTTCTCCAACAATTTCCGGGGGCATTGTTGATAACATTAGACAACACTATATGATACAAAAGAAACCAAAGTTAATTATATATATAATCAAACATAATAATGCATTATATTTCTCTTTAACAACAATACAAATATACAATCTCTACTTGTACATTGTTCTTGTTTAAGGGTCTTACTTTTAGGCCTTCGGCGGTACAATCAGAGACTTGCCAACCGTGATCTTGGTCAGAGAAAGTCCATGATCCCTTCGAGATATGGCGGTGCATAGCTTTGAAGTCTCCCGACGGATTGTCCTTAACCTTATATAAGCAAATATATAGCATTAGTTATACAACCTAACATTCTCTTTTTTAGTGTTTATGAACAACATTTTATAACATTAGTCCTTAAAGTATTAATTTATGCACCATATACACATGAAACATTCACTTGTTAAGAAAAAATGAATACCTGTCTCTTTAATAAAGAAGTGGCTTTTCTTAAGAGCAGGTCCGATTTCGTCGAGGCTAAGATTTGAAGCTAGCAATGCTTGGACGGAAAACCCACAATCCCATTCTTGACTTCCAAAACTCTGCAAATTTTTTTTTATCACATGTATTTAGGTTAGTAATGATCAATTTTCATAATTTTGGAGAATTTTGCAAGTACTTGTTTATTAATAAAACTTTCATTGATGATAAAATACCTGCATTTTTAATCCATCTTCAGCAATCCAAATGTAATCCTGGACTCTAGCAAGGTGTTTCTTGTAATGATCCCCTTTAGGATCTTCAACCCAACATGCTAACATACATAAAACCTACAAAATTCAAAGCAATTAGTCAGTGTTTTATATCTTAAATTACTAAATTAGTGTAATAATCCCATGCTACTTGTACATTATAAGCTTATTGATCGATACCTTCTCAACACATCCCATGGTTATGTAACGACTGTTCTCATCTTCGTAATGAATGTGTTCCATTGTAACCTCTAGTGCTTTCTTTCGAATCAACGTGTTGAAAGGCCAACGAGTAAGGAGTGGCTCCATAAAGATGTAAAGAGCGTCCCACATTAAATCTTGAATCAATGGATGAGGGTAGTAGAGATCCTCCTGTTTGGTAATCATAAAAAAAATATCTATGAGTTTATCGAAATTATAAAGGCACGAGCTATATGAGCTTACCGGTGCACACAAATGGCGCATTTTCTTCCAACTAATTTGCTCAAAGGGTTCGTTGTAGAGTTCTTCTCTAAGTTGTTTAATGAGAGGTGTAATTGGACCTATGAATCTCTTCCCATATAAATATGACATTGGCATATATACCATTCGACAATAACACCACATTTTCGCTGCATGATAACCAACATCAAATTTTAGTACCAAAATTTGATAGAAATTAGCTTCTTTATATATATTCACTAGCATTAAACATAACACTTGTACAATATATCTACTAGGAAGTACGAAATTTTATACCAGGATACATAGGGAGAAAAGGCGGAAGGATCGGCATTGGATTACTTCCAGACCAATCAAACAAGCCGAGTATCTAAAATGATAGATATATGTTAGTTTGTTACAATCACATTGGTTAATTACAAGTATTTAAAAATGTTCAAGTTATAACTTATGTGAAATTATGTTAAATGACTTACAGATAGCCAAGTTTTTCCCCAAGAAGCCATATGGGTAACGCTACCATGGTCAAGGATCCATTTACGAGCCCTAGGACAAGCGTTGTCATCGCCCTCATCAGGTCCGATTCCAAGCATTCGCAAACAAATGTAGTTGAGTGCAGTGCAAAACATGGTACTGTGTCCTTCAATGTGCAATCCCCAACCTCCATCTTCATTCTATTATAATAAATTATTATATGATTAGTCCAATTTTTTTTTAAGAAAGTAAATTTATTTCCATGGTCAAACCTATTCAATTCAACATTGTATAGAATATGTGTTAACCTGATGATAATAGATACTACGAAGAATCTCTCTGCGATGCTCTGGCCCGAAAACAGAATTTAGATCCCCTGTAATGTATAAGCAGAAAACCTGCATGACATTACATGTTTATGTAAATGTTATTAGTCTTATTACATTATATCTCTTGAAAACTTGGTTATAAAATGATGCAATTACATAAATGAGAAGTGTATTGTTAAAGGACTAACCAAGGGAGGGAGGAAAAATTGAGGGCCAGCAATTTCAGCAGGCCAATGGCCTTGGTCAGACTGCAGGGCTGTGAATACATTCACTGCTCTTTTTAGTGTTGTCGTAGCAGTTTCGTATGTGATCTCCTCCCCTTCTTCCACCTTCACTTGAGGTATTGTTTGCTTGAAGTTTTTCTCCCTTAGGAACTATGGTTCAAATGATCAATCGCATAATTAATGGTTATTAAATAATTAATGTTCTAGCATAAATGCATAATGTTACATCGCGTTATTAAACTAAAAAATTTGCATCTAATTTTTCTTTTTATCACTGTTGGACAAAATTATAACATGATTTTCTCACATTATACAAATTATTAAAGTTTACAAATTAAAGGAGCATATATTCTCATCTCACACCACAAAAAGACTGAGATGGAAGAAAAAGAAATATCATACGAGGTCTTATGTTTCAACAACTTTTGTGTGGCCGTGTGGCCAGCCGACACACACAAAGTAACCCCTAACCGACGAATAACCCCTAATCGACGAATAACCCCTGACCGACTGAGTAACCTCTGACCGATCGAGTAACCGCTAGCCGAGTGAATAACCCATGACCTAGTGAGTAACTAACCCGTAATCGAGTAACCCCTGACCGAGTGAGTAGCCCCTGATCGAGTAACCCCTGACCGGCCGATGAACCCCTGATCGACTTAGTAACCCCTAACCGATCGAGTGAGTAACACCTATAACACTAACAAAGTAACCTCCATAATGATTAACTACACGGTGTGGCCAACCACATATAAAAGTTTGTGCTTATGCTTTCATGATTCCTTTGTACATTTGTGTAATTATTGAAGTAAAACGAGATTTTGTTTTAGTGACAAATATATGGAATTATGCATCTTAACACGTTCAAATTGCTCGTCCTTCGTTGTTACTCCCTTCATCCCTTATTTTTTGCCCCATTGTAAAAATATGGGTCAAACTTTTAAAACTTTGACCATGAATTCTAGTTAATCTATATGTGATAATATAATGGGTCAAACTTTTAAAACTTTGACCATGAATTCTAGTTAATCTATATGTGATAATATATTAATGTGGGATCTTGTTAGAATCGTCTCATTGTATAGTTTTTATTAATATCAAATTTTAATAATTTTTACGCGTATAGAAATGGAGATATATACGTTTAAAGATGCATATTGGAGATCGTGAAAAGTTAAATAGGGCAAAAAATAAGGGACAGAGTAATGTCATTGTGACTTATCATTTGTATAGTAGTTGAGGACTAGATGTGCAATTGTTTTCAATTGAACGTAAATGTATATTATTATAATTAGATTTGCGTACTTTCCTACGTAGTAATAAAATATTTATATTTAGGATTTTCAATCGGAAAATTATCAATAGTACACCCAAGGTTCCAGCGTTTATCAATGGCACATCTACTTAACTATTGTTTATCAGCGGTACACCCAAGATTTCACACAATTATCTACAGTAACCAATCCGTTAAACAAACGTGAATCCTAGGTTAGTTTTGGCTTTTTTCGATTTTTTAACTTAAAAAACTCCCTCCTTTTTTTCCCTCTTTACTTTCCCTCCTTTTTTTCCCTCTTTACTTTCCCTCCTTTATTTAAACTAACCCACCCACCCACTCTAACTGTATAAATAGTTTCCCCCCTCTTTTGCAGCTTACTCTTCTCCTTCTTCTCGAATTTCCCTTTCTTTTAATTTTTTTTTGCTTGTCAAACTTACCAACTTCTCATCAGACAACATACGCAGCTCATCAAGACACTGAATTACTTCTCTGGGAAACGAATTAAGCCATAGAACATCATCTAGGGTAACTTTCCTCAATTTGGAAATATAATTAGTGCTACTCTTCCTGTTGGTCTTACACTATCAAAAAAAATTCCCTTTTTTAATCCAATCTTTATAAGATGTGGTCACCCTATTCGAACATGTACAATTAATTAATGGATAAAGTTATCAAAGTATCTTCCCATATCGAGTAATCTTGGTGCCCGTTGACTTAAAATATAATTGGATGCTTTCAAATTTTGTGTTACTTAGCGTAAAATTATTAGATACGAAGTATATTATATCACTATTTGGGAATTGTTGTTGCAACTTTTTAATTGAGTGTAATAAACTAAAATAAACTTGTTTCAATTCAATCGGATTGATTTTTGCAGGGTCGATTAGCTGAGCTTTGTCATTCCCAATCATTATTAATAGCAAAGTAACGTACCCCATAATAACGGAAAGTACCACTATTGGAACGTTTAATTTATTTAGACGGGTTGAGATTATGAAATTTTGATAGTGTGATTTTATTTATCTCGCGTTTGGCATGTAATTGGAATAAGGGCTCGTACGATATTTTATGTTAGTGTGAAAAATCACCTTATTATATATTGCTCGCTCCCAAACTCTTATAAGTACTCTTTAGTAAATAATTCTTTACAACTAAACAAACACCACGATTACCATCTATAATAAAGCCTGCTAAACATACAATAAGAGGAGTTCAATACTTTCGTTTATGAAGGAAACAGTCAATACCAACCATTTTACGTCTATTATAAAGCCTAGTGATAAGGTTTGCATCTCACAACCTTGAGGTTGTGGGATCAAACCCCACTAGAGGCACTTTGGGGTGAAGATTCTCTTACCCTTCCCCCCCACCTCCCCACTCCTAAAATGTCTAGCCCGTTAACTCAGGCCGAAAGGACCTGTGAGAGATTCCGGCCCGATAATTAAGACCCTTCTCCTTACCAATAAAAAAAGAAAATAATAATAAAATAAAATAAAAAAAAACAAACAAAACATTTTACGTCTACTTAAGTATCTCATGATTTTGCAAATGCTATGTAATAGTAAGGAGAAGTTTCTCATCACTTCAAAATTTCACAAACTTAATTAACCTTAAATGAACTTTTGAGTTAATTCAAAAAATTAAAAATAAAAATATCAACTTCCGAGCTTAATTTTAGCTGTAAGTTAAACTTACTACATGCCTTTTTAGTATTACTTCAATTATTAAACAAAGTAAATAATAAAGGTGAATATGATCTATAATAAAGCCAGGAAACGAACCTGAAGACGCCATATGAGATCACCACAAGGTTTAACTTTAAATCGATTGTTGTAGAAGTTACGACGTGCATCCTCTACCTCCTCCCTCTCCTCAGGGGTGCCATAGTTTGGATCAAACTCCCAAGTTTGTCGCCCAACAAAGTTATTAGTGCTGTATAAATAAGGGTCGTTTGCACCTTCTCCAACTTTTAACCTCCACATTTTATAATCCCAACTTAGCACGTAGAGAAAATTTCCTGAGCAAAATTTATAAATGTGCAAATTCTCAAATTACGGGTCACAATTTCTGTGACCAAACTAATTGACAGTTTAGCTGATTGATCAGCTCAAATTGCTATGCATTGTAGTTGGCAAGTTTTTTGTTTCGTTGTGCTCAATTAGATATGGTAAGAGTAAAGTTGAATGAGTTTTATATGAAAACTTTGATGTATAAATATGTGTGTGAAATATACAAGAAATTATGCATGCATAATAGCATATGCTAGGTTGGTCCAATAGCTAAGTGGGAAAAGACGAAATAAATAATGAAATATATATGTAGGAAGGACGAAGGTAGCGATATGATGAGGTTTATAATTTATCTCGCGCTCTTCGATTTCCTCGTTGCTACGAAAGCTATCTACGTGTATGACGTTTTATTTTGTTGTCGAATATATTGCCTATAATAATTGTGTGGATCCTCGACTCTTCGTACATTGCTTGTAAACTGACTCGTATATGATTATTGAATTTTTACCACAAGTATATGATTACATGACTAAACATGATATGAATTTGACTTATTAAAACGTGGTAAGTACAGAGTAAATATTTTAAAACTAATGATGATAATAAACTAATTTGGATGTGCAATTTTTTTAAATAAAACAACAAGATCATTACAAAGTAGAAATGAGTGAATTGAACCTGCGACCTATATGTAGTATACCCACATCCTCAATATTTCTCACTAGGCACAAAACTAAATAGTACTCCCTCCGTCCCATAATACATGAGACGTTGGACTTTTTTCACCATTTATGCATTAGATTTGACCATAATTTTTTACTAACATAATAAAAACATATTTTATCATAAAATATGTTGTTAGATAGGTATTAATATAAAGTTTTATAATATAATTTTTACAATAATTTTCATTAATATTTAATTATATAAAAATAAAGTTAAACTAGTGCATTGACATGTGTGCAATGTTGACTGTATCATATATTATGGGACAGAGGGAATACAAAAGTATTGTACATGATACAGAGTCCTACCAAATTGAATGACTCGTAAATCAATTTTATGACCTGAACCATATAATTGACTTAGAATCAAATCCCATCCAACATCACATTTAGCACCTTAGGTGTATGGCCAAATCCCTTGAATCATTGTTTTTATTTCGTTTTCTTAATTAAAAAAAAAAAGAAAGAAAGAAACATTTTCCTACTTTGTAGATGGGTATTCAAGGTTATGTAGACTAAATAGTACTCCCTCCGTCTCATAATACATGAGACGTTGGACTTTTTTCACTATTCATACATTAGATTTGACCATAATTTTTTACTAATATAATAAAAACATATTTTATCATAAAATATGTTGTTAGATAGGTATTAATATAACGTTTTACAATATAATTTTTACAATAATTTTCATTAATATTTAATTATATAAAAATAAAGTTAAACTAGTGCATTGACATGTGTGCAATATTGACTGTATCATATATTATGGGACAGAGGGAATACAAAAGTATTGTACATGATACAGAGTCCTACCAAATAGAATGACTCGTAAATCAATTTTATGACCTGAACCATATAATTGACTTAGAATCAAATCCCATCCAACATCACATTTAGCACCTTAGGTGTATGGCCAAATCCCTTGAATCATTGTTTTTATTTCGTTTTCTTAATTAAAAAAAAGAAAGAAAGAAACATTTTCCTACTTTTTAGATGGGTATTCAAGGTTATGTAGACAATAAAAAGATACTTCTACATTTTATTCCTATACTTGCAACACTTGAGTTTGTGTGGAAATTTAGGAAGAATTGTAGGTACTCCGTAGTATATATGAAAATTAAATATACTGATGTATTATCGAGGTTAATGGGGTTACTTTTGTTTGTGGGATATATAAACAATAAAAAATTATTGCAAGTGAGGTTAGCGAGAGTGTAAAATAGCAACATAATAGTTCTTCCATATTGAAAAAGAAAATGTTGCAAGTATTCATAAACGCATAAAAGAGACAAATATTTTAATGGTTTAGTAACTGTTTGAGTAGAGGTCATTAAACTACCCTTTTCCTTTTTTTTTTTTTTTTTTTTTTTTTTGAAACAAACTACCCTTTTCTTGAAGTAAAAGGAAAACTCATACTCTCTATGTGTAAATTCATAAATTATGAAGATAAGGCAAAAGGAGGATGATTATAAAAGGTATAAGGATAAACTAAGTTAAGGTGCAAATTATGGGTGTATGTGTGTAAAAAAAAATGAATAACTTGAGTGATAGGGGTAAGAAGGTAGGTATTTCCATATTTACCAAAAAAAATTGAAAAAGTAAAAATACATTGAAAAATACTCCTAATAAGATAACTCGAGAAGTAAAAAATAAATAAAATAGTAATTAATTCTTTTTCCCCAAGAACAAGGTTTAGACAATAATTCAACAAAAAGTGAGGCAAATAACTTAAAATGGAGGATTTAAGTTGAAAATGGAATAATAAATAGTGAAATCAAGGCCAATCGTGAAAATTTGATATAGAAAAAGTAAAACCCTTACGGCTATTTCATCAAATGCGACTGAGTAATTTTAAAATTCACCAAATTAAATGTCATCAAGTTTTTCAAAATTCACCAAATGCTACTGAGGTTTAGTACAATATCACCAAATGTCATTTCCGTTAGTTGACCCCACCACTTGCCACGTGTCACCTTCTAATTGGTCCGTTTCAAAAAAAAATATTTTTTTAAAAAAAAAATAAAAAAAAAAAAACAGAAAACCCTTGAAACCACCCCCAGCCACCACCCCTTCCACTACCCCGACGGTGGGAGAAGGGAGGAGGGCTGGTTTTGGCGACGGAGGAAAGGAGAGGGCCTAGTATCGAGGCTCGTGTTGGTGAATTTGGGGTCGGGGCGGGCTGTGTGGGTGGTTTCGGGGGTCAAGGGTGGGTCAGGTAGGGTGGTACAGAGCCGGCCGACCGATTTTTGTTGGTTAAGAAGGTGGCCGGCCGTTTTCTGGCAAGGTAAGGGGAGGGGCAGGGTTTCGGGGTGGTGGCTGGGGTGGTTTCAAGGGTTTTCTGTTTTGTTTTTTTTTTAATTTTTTTCTAATTTTTTTTAAAATTTTTTAAAAAATATTATATTTTTTAAAAACGGACCAATCATAACTTGACACGTGGCAAGTGGCGGGGCCAACTAATGGTCAACTAACGGACACTGACGGTCAACTAACGGAAATGGCATTTGGTGATATTGTACTAAACCTCAGTGGCATTTGGTGAATTTTGAAAAACTTGATGGCATTTGGTGAGATTCTACATAGCCGAAACACTTAAATACAACTAAATTTAGGTGTATCCGAAAATAAGATAAAAATGATAGTCGTATTGTATAGTGGCATTCCCGCGACCCCACCGGATATTGGAGATACGAGATGTAATACCCCGTATTTTTATACGTATTTTAATTTAAATAACTATTTCTTAAAGTATTTAAATAATTCGAAATGAATTATTTATGGTTTATATTAATTTAAAAAGAATTATTTTAATTAAAAGTTTATTTTTAATTATTTAATAATCTTGAAAATATTTTATTTCATGATTTAAAAATTTTAAGGCATATTATTTTATAAAAAGATAATTTTTAAAGTCAATGGTATTTAAGGAAAGTCAAAATATTAGTTTGACTAGGAAAGGGATCATTAAGGGTAGTAAAGGAATTTTAAGTAGGAGGGATTTGAGAGGGGTATAAATACCCATCATATGCCTAAGGTGGAGTGCACCCAAAGGTAAACTCTCTCTCCTCTTATTTTCTTTTCCCTTTCCCCTTTATTTTATTTTATTTATTTATTTTTATTTTTAATCACCACCACACACCACCACACGCCGGCGCCACCACCACACACCACCACCGGTGCACACCAGCAGCACAGGCGGGCGCGCGGCAGCCGCCCAGCCGTGGTGGTCCGTGCACATCTTTTCTATAAAAAAAAAATCATTATTATTATTGTTCTTTGATTTTCAATTCAATCTAGCCTAAATTTAATTATTGTTTTTGGGTTTTGTGATGATTTTAGGATGTTTAGTAATAAGTATTTTGTATATGAATTTTTAGATTTTGGTTTTGAAATTAAGAAGCCCCAAATTGAAAACCCTAATTTTCTAAATTAATGTATATTGAGGGAATTTGATTGTGGGTGATTTAAATTATTGAAATAGGTGTTTTAAAACATAATTACAACAATTTAAGATGTTTCAATAATGCTGGAATTTTTATATATAACTTATAATTAAGTTTCTTGAAAGGATTTTTAATTACCCATTAATTGGGAATAAAAGTAAGGGTTTTAAATTAAATTTCAGATTATTTTAGAGGGTTTATGAGTGATTTAAAGAGAGTATATATTGCTGGAAATTTGTGTTGAAAGGGTATTAATACTTCTTTGTAATTTTGTTTTGTAGGAGACTTCCAAGTGAGTGATTCTATTTAGTCGTGGCGATTTCGAGATCATATTCAAGGTACGTTCGCGTACTTAGTAATTATTTGAATATGTAGAAGCATGCTAGGCTTTACTTAATTAATTCCAAGTAGTATCATGATAGGTATTGGTTGAAAATTGTTGATTGGATTGATATTGGTAAATAATTTGTGATGTGTAAATTAATTATGGTGAATTGGTGATTGGAATTATTTATGTTGGCATGTTGATTATGAACCACGCTTTTATTATTGGCATGTTAGAGAGCATGATTAATTAAACTAAGTGTTTAATTTGGTTTGGAATATAAAAAGGGAATTTTATTATGGTTCATATAATTTTTATTGATGCTTTAAGCATGGGAATTGAGCTATTTAAGTGTCTTAGTACACAGGAATAAATTATATTGCAGTGCTTATATGCACTTAAGGTGTTTCTAACACCGAGGGATAGGATTTGCGGCGTATTATACGTTTAAGGTGTCTTTGACACCGAGGTAGAATAAAAAGAGTTCAACTATTAAATTTATGTGGTCACTAATTATTCAAGAATTAATAAATTGGTATGTTTGATTGCTTGAATGATTTATGATGTTTGTTTGTGCTATGGTTTGAGAGTCATCACCAAGTCTAATAATATGTAAACAACGTAAAGTGAAAGAGA